GCAGCAGCTGCGTGAGTGGTACGTTGGCCGTCAGGGTCGCGCTGCTGGAGCTAGGGGCCCTGCTGCGGGAGGCGCTGGAGCTGGTGACTCTGCTGCTGGATTTGTTTCTGCTGGAGGTTCTGGAGCTGCTGCAGGTGCTGGTGCTGAGGGTTCTGAGTCTGCTGTTGCTCGGTCTCCTTAGAGTAGCCGCCTTCGTCCGCGTATGCCTCTCACCTCACAGCAGCTGCACGACTGGTACGGTCGCCGTCAGGGTCGCGCTTCTGGAGCTCGGGGCTCTGCCGCTGGAGGTACTTCTGCTGACGTCACTGGAGCTGGGAGTGGTGCTGGTCCCGGAGGTGCTCATACTGGAGGTACTGGAGCTGCTGGGGCTGGAGGTGCTGAGCCTGAGGGTGCTACTGCTGGAGACCCTGGGTCTGGGGGTGCTGCTGCTGGAGACACTGAGGCTGGAGACCCTGGGACTGGAGGTGCCGGTTCTGGGGGTGCTGCTGCTGGTGGAGCTGGTCCTGGAGGAGCTGGCGCTGAGGGTTCTGGAGCTGCTGGAGGTGCTGGAGCTGCTGGGGGTGCTGGAGCTGCTGGTGCTGGTGACACTGCACAGCCGCGCCTGTTCTTTGCTCCACCGTCTCCGTCGTCTCAGCCACCGTCCGACTCTGTGCTTCGCCAGGTTCTTAGTCTCCCTTCGTCTACTGGTCTTCCGTTACAGCCTGGCTCACCGCTGCCTGCTCCTTCTCCTTACACTGAGCAGACAGGGGGTCTTACTGAGCGTCGTGAGCCTGCGTCGCATCCTGTCTCGCCTGTCCGTTCTGGTCGTTCCGGTCGTCGTGTTCCTCGTTCGCGTCAGCCGGCTGTCCCCGGCACCCACCTCGTAGTCCGTCGTCCTTCCTCTCCTCCGCAGCGTGTTCCCCTGCCGTCCCCTCCTGCGTCCTCTCTGCCTACCGTTCCTGAGCCTGAGTCTGACCGCACCCGTGCTGCTCACCCTACTGTCACGCGTCTGCTAGCCACAGCTGTCACTGACCCGTCGTTTGAGTCTGCTGCTGCGTCTGCCTTTTCGCTGAGCTTGTTGACTTTGCTGTTGCCTGTCGTCTAGACTACGCCGCTAGTCTTGTTACTGAGTCTGAGTCTGTCTGTCCTCCGTCCGTCAGGGGTGAGTGTGCTCTTGGCACAGACATCCTTGAGGACAAGCAGGAGGACCTTGAGTGTCTTGCAACCACTGCGCCTCATCTCGTGTCCATGCTACTTGCCCCTGAGGGAGACCCTGATGCTCCAGACATCCCGACCCCGCGGCTCTTACGCTGAGGCGATCGCGGGTGAGTACTCCTCTCAGTGGCAGACAGCCATGGACGCAGAGATGGCATCCTGGAAGTCCACAGACACTTACGTCGACGAGGTTCCCCCTCCTGGGGCGAACATCGTCAGTGGCACATGGATTTTCAGGGTGAAGTGGCCGCCAGGTTCTCCGCCTGTCTTCAAGGCTCGTTACGTTGCTCGAGGCTTCAGTCAGCGGGAGGGAGTCGACTTCTTCCAGACCTTCTCCCCCACCCCAAAGACGACCACTCTTCGGGTGCTGCTGCACGTTGCCGCTCAGCGTGACTACGAGCTTCACTCTCTTGACTTCAGCACACCTTTCTTACAGGGCAGCCTGCACGAGGAGATCTGGCTGCGCCGCCCTCCTGGCTTCACTAGGTCGTTCCCTCCTGGTACCCAGTGGAGCCTTCGGCGGCCAGTCTACGGTCTCCGCCAGGCGCCACGTGAGTGGCACGACACACTGAGGACGACACTTGCTGCTCTTGGGTTTGCTCCGTCGACTGCTGACCTGTCGCTGTTTCTGCGCACCGACACTTCGCTGCCGCCGTTCTACATCCTCGTGTACGTCGACGACTTGGTCTTTGCCACTGCTGACACTGAGGCTCTTGCCCTGGTGAAGTCGGAGCTGTAGAAGAGACACACGTGCACAGACCTGGGTGAGCTGCGCAGCTACCTTGGCTTGCAGATCACCCGGGACAGAGCACGCCACACCATCACACTGACTCAGTCACACATGGTGCAGCAGGTCCTTCAGCGCTTCGGCTTCACCTGGTCCTCGGCACAGGCCACTCCTCTGGCTACAGGTCACTCGCTCTCAGCTCCACCTTCGGACGAGTCCGTAGAGCCGAGTGGTCCTTACCCCGAGCTAGTGGGCTGCCTCATGTACCTGATGACCTGCACTCGTCCTGACCTTGCGTACCCTCTTGGCCTTCTGGCTCGCTACGTGGCTCCCGGTCGGCACCGAAAGGTGCACATGGATGCTGCTAAGAGGGTACTACGCTACTTGTGCAGTACATCGGGCATGGGGCTCGTGCTTGGAGGGCGGAGCCCAGTTGTCCTCACTGGGCACTCAGACGCTTCTTGGGTTGACGACCAGGCTACGCAGCGGTCGTCAAAGGGTTACACCTTCAGCCTTGGCTCTGGCTCTGTTTCTTGGCATCCTACACGCTCGTCTTCAGTTCTCAGCTCCTGTTGTGAGGCTGAGATCTACGCCACAGCCATGGCTGCACAGGAGTTACGCTGGCTCACCTACCTACTGACCGACATGGGAGAGCGGCCTCGTTCTCCTCCAGTGCTGTACGTAGACAACAAGACCGCCATTGCCTTGTGTGAGGAGCACAGACTGGAGCACAGAAAGAAGCACATCGCTCTGCGTTACTTCCTGGCTCGAGAGTTGCAGCAGCGTGGTCAGCTTCATCTTGCTCACGTGGCCAGGGCCTTGTTTTGTCATCGATCCCAGGGCCTTGTTTTGTCATCCTGCGCATTGTTTGAAATTGTTGGCAAGACGAGCGAGCCTCAAGCTCGCGTTTGCTCAAAAGTTGAGTACGACCGTTGGTGTTTTGCTAATCCTACTGTAGCACGTGTTATTGTTCCCCTGTCGTTTCATTTTGTCGTCGATTGCAGTCTCTTCTCACCCCTTGCTCACAGTTTCACTTGCTGTAGGGTGTGATGATCCACTTGCTCACAGTTTCTGTGTGATAGCAAGAAACTATGAGCAAGTGGCCCTAGTTGTTTGTTTTGTTGAGCGGATTTTTTTTATTCGCCCTGGTACTCTCATTCGTTTTTACCAACCCGTTTCTTGCTACTCTGTATAGACCGTCGGGTGTTTGCCAACCTAGGTACTTTTCGCCACCCCTTTTCATTTTAGAGCTGCGGTCTACATACCAAAGGGTATTTTCTGGGCGTATTTCGGGTGCACACCCTAAGACGCAGTCTGATTTGCACACGAAATGATCCCTTTCCAGAAATGAGAGCGCGAAGGATTCAAACACAACTGGCGAATCCCGCCAGTTTCGTGCAAGGTTTGGTTGGGGGGGTACTTTTTTCGTGAGGTTGGGGTTGTGCTGGCGATTTCGCCACAACCTGCAACCAATCGAGGTTGGGGGGTAGATTGGCGCGAAATTTGTAAGCCAATCAGGCCCTCAGATTGGTTTCAGGGTATGCTGATCGATCAGTGTGCAGTGTCCAAAGTGGTGTCCAAATCAGCCTTGGGGGTAAAATTTAAGCTGATTTTTCAGCAAACTGAATTTTAGAGTTAAAACTTTCACCGTACATTGAGAGTGGTGTTGCTGGTGTAGTTGTTTGGGTTGTATCTTTAAATCGCGAAGATTTCGGGTTCGATTCCCGCAGGCGGGAACCCACTGGAGAGGGCCGCGAACTCTTTTTGCGGGAATCCTGGTTTGAACACCCCCTGTACACCCATACCCTATCATGTCCGAATCAGTGTGACTCGGTACACTATACTGATTCGTCAGTGCTACTTGTACAGCAACATGCAAAATGGTCAGTGTGACAAAATAGGTTATACTGAAAATTCAGTGCAAAATTGAAGCATATGCTAAATTTCCAGGGAAAACGAAAATCTGAGCTACAAAATCAGCGTAATCAGCGTGTTTTACGCTGATATCTGAGGGCCTGAAGCCAATCCTGAGAAGGCCAACTTCAGAGGGGGGGTTGGGTTGTCAGAAAGCAGTAACTGCACCTCACCACCCAAGGATGGAGCGAAGCCCTGTGCTACCTGGTTTTCAAGTGATAAACCAGGTCCTCCCGCAGGAGGTATGTAGGCGACAGCTTTAAAACGAACTTAAGCAAGAAATTTGGCACGTGCCGTCTCCACCCTCCTACTTTTCCGTCCAGCTTCACCATAACCCTTCCACCAAAGCACCCGCCCTCTCACATCACCTTCATTGCGCCACCTAGTACCACAGTTGCACAGCACCAGCAACTACTAGTATATCAGTAGAAGCCGTTTGTACGCATCGCCTTGCCTAGTAGTACTAGCGGTCGATGCTGTAGCGACAGAATCTTTAAATAGATTATATATAAGTGCGTGCCTATTACTATCAATATTTGCAGGCATCGCCTGCGATGGCTCCGTACTCGGAGTACCGTTCACGCGGAGGGTTCCCCCTGGACGTTTTCTCATGTACCGACATGCCGCGCATGATAGGTCGATCCGATTGGGTGAAACGAGGTTCAAGTGCGAGTCTGTGCGTGGTACGTCCGTGCTCGAAGCGTTTCGTGTTTTGGCGCCAGGTCGTTTTCGGCGATCCCAGCCATGGCATGGCTTCTTCATCTCAGCGAGCAAAGGCAGAGCAAGCGCCGCGTGGAATTCTCGGCAGCGCGCGGGCTCGCGATCAGCAGCGCGCGGGCTCCCGTTCCTCTACCGCTCCACCACTCTTCCCCCTTTCCCTTGTCATTCCGCCCCCATCGTTGCAAGGGGCAGGTGCAGGTGGTGAAAGAATCACAAGCCCAACACATGCTTCACGCATGCAAAGTGAGTCACTATACAAGCAACATTAACTGAATGGCATTACAGCAACTCAAGCAATGACTGGAACGGTGCTCTCACATCAGCCTGACGCTGTGCCTTCCAGCCCCACCCATCCCTGAGCCCAGCACACACCACTGCAGGCAGCACGTGCAATGCAAGTCACTGTACATACATCTTATAATGTGGCGGTCCATAAGAACGCAGCTCAATAAGGCAACGGCTGGAGCGGTGCTCTCACGTCAGCTTGGCCCTGTGCCACCCACCCATCCATGAGCCCAGCACACACCACTGCAGGCAGCACATGGGGCACACTCACACCATAGTCACCACCCAAGAGCTCCGCTTCCCTCCTCACCACCTCCTCTGCTTCCTCTGCTCTCCTTGTGTCTTCCACTGCTGCCTCTGCCAAGGCCCACCCTCCCAGCATCTCATCCAGCCTTGGCCCCTCCCTGCTTCTTCCACTTGTCTCTCCTGGGCTGAATGTACCAAAGCCCTGCAGTTGAACAAGGGAGGAAAGAGAGCGAAGATTCAACACCCTGCAATGCTTTGTCCTCTTGTCTCTGCCACTAACCACCCTCCCAGCATCACATCCAGCCTCGGCACCTCTTCCCTTCTTCCACGAGTTTCTCCAGAGCTGCTGTATGCATTAAAGCCTTGCAGTGAAATCATTTCCTTCATAAAAAAACTCCAGAGGCCGCACTTCCAGATGCTAGGAGTTGCGACTAGTTCCCTGTGAATCCATGCAGGGCCATTCTCTGCTGCACACCTGCACAGTGACTCACCAAGGCTATTCCAGTCTCCAAATAACCCATACACCGACTCACCAAGGACATAACTTTGTTCTTGAGGCGTCTCAAAAGCCTACTCCCTGCTCCACACCTACAGAGCGACTCACCAAGGGCATTCCAGAAAAACCACGCAGTGACTCACCTGCAGCTCCAGAGGCCAAGCTCCCTGCATGCCTCCCTGCCTGTGTGCGTGTGCGCCCTCATTACCCCCAGAAGACAGAGTGTTGCCGGGAATGAGGGAGGACACAGATGCGAGGTAGCTGGTGGGTGCAGCGGGTGAGAGAGGGGAGAGAAGGAATGGCATGGAGAGAGGGAGGGGAGGGGTGCAGAGAGGTGATGAGCCCTCAGATGGCATCGTATGGTGTGGCATCGCTAGTCGCACGGCATTGTACGGCACGGCATGGCGTGGCATGACATGGTGTGGCATGACATGGTGTGGCATGACATGGTGTGACATGACATGGTGTGACATGACATGGTGTGACATGACATGGTGTGACATGACATGGTGTGGCACGGCATGGTGTGGCATGGCATGGCATGGCATGGCGTGCGGCGTCACCTGGTAGAAGTGCTGTGATGATGAGCAACGTAAGCATGCATGGGAACACCAACATACAGATGGGGGGCAGTGATTGAGCCATGGCCACAGCCCAAGCGCGCATTCGCCGCCCTTCTCATGTAAGCCCTTGCGGAATGGCATGGTGCAGAGTGGCACGGCATATGGTATGGTGCAGCATGGCACGGCATGGTATGGTATGGTGCAGCGTGGCATGGCATGGTATGGTATGGTATGGTGCAGCATGGCACGGCATGGTATGGTATGGTGCAGCGTGGCATGGCATGGTATGGTATGGCGCAGCATGGCACGGCATGGTATGGTATGGTGCAGCGTGGCATGGCATGGTATGGTATGGTGCAGCATGGCATGGCATGGCATGGGGCGTCAACTTCAGTGGAAGTGCCACGACAACCCATCCACGCATGCATGTGACAGGTCCAACCAAGGCACCCGTTTGGTGAATGTGTACCCTCGCTTCAAAGGGCATGGCATGGCATGGGGCGTCACCTTTGGTAGAAGTGCCATGAAGAGCCGTCCATGCACGCATGTGCCAGGTGCAACGCACTCGCCTCCCCTCCATCTCTCCGCAATGCCGGATACACAGCCCTCGCTGCTCCCACACTGCTACTACCACCAGCAAAACCAGCAGCAGCATTAGCAGTAGCAGTGGAACCAGCACCACTATTGGGGGTATCTGGAGTGAGCTCGTGCAGAAACACATACCCACACTCCTTTAACTCCCCAGCCCATTCCCTCGGGTCAATCACCTCACCACCTCTTCTCTCCTTCCATCCCTTCCCACCACTGCCAGCGGATGTGAAGAGCCGGCAAGTCGCTTCTCTCTACATCCATCTCCACGCCTGGGACGCGGAACTCCAGCTCCAGACACTCTCGCAGCACCCAGCACTGCAGCAACTGGTGGTGGTGTGAGACAAGGGACGGGGCAATGGAAGGGGGCACAGGGAAGAGAAGTGGAAAGCGGGCAAGTTCCTTCTCAAGGGCTCCTTGGCACGCTGCTTGCCCCTCCTTCTCCTCGTGCTCGCTCGCTCGCCCCTCTTGCGCTTCAGCTTGCCCTCGCACTCCGCCGCCAGGTGCAGTTTTGAGGCGCCTCAAAACTAGTACTCCGCCGCCAGGTGCATCGAGCACGCACGCATAATGAGTCACCCATTCCCCCAACCCAACGCAAAAACACCCACCTGTAAGTGGCTTCTTGGGTACACCCCCCTCCTTCTCGTCGTGCTCGCCCCTTTTGTGCTTCCTCTTGCCCTTACACTCCGCGTCCAAGTGAACTATGTGCCCATAATGGGTGACCCATTCACCTCACGCACAGACACCCACCTGAAACAGCTTCTTGGGTACACCCCCGTCCTTCTCGTCGTTCTCGCCCCTCTTGCGCTTTGGCTTGCCCTCACACTCCGCCGCCAGGTGCCCCGTCTGCCCGCACAGAAAACATTTGTCCACCTGCCCGGGCTGAAACACAACCTGCTTGGCAGCCAATGGCGTGGGGTGGGAGGGTGGAAAACAAAGAGTAGTCAGGGGATTAGGAGCAAGAGAGAGAGGTAGGCAGGCAGCGTGAAAAAAGGGTGCTTTAGAGACGTCTCAAAAACAAGTAGTCAGGGGATTAGGAGAAAGAGAGAGGCAGGCAGGCGGGGATACAATTGCTGATGAGGAAGGTAAGAACCATGGGACGAGGGAAAAGACAAACGGGGAACGGAAGGGAGTGGAGGGCGGAGAGTTGAAGACAGTGAAATGAAGAATAGCAAGAGAAGGGAGGATTGGCATATACTGCTGGCTGACAGGGCACCGCCGATGGAGAGAGGTACGATCCACAATCACAGGGTTTTAAGAGGATCGGGAAGGGGGGTGGGTTGGGTTGGGTTGGGTTGGGGGGCGGGGTGTGGGGATGGAGGGGGGCTGACTGACAGGTCGGACCTGGCAGAAAACCATGAAAATTACAGGATGATGGGGGAATAGGGGTGGCAGATAGTGCTGAACTGAATGGCTGGCCGTCACGGATGGAGAGATGAGATGCACGATTCAACGAGCGGGCTCTAGCAAGGCGTTTGGTTTTGAGGGGCTGGCTCTGGTTGAGCGCACACAGACAGTAACTAGAGTGCGACGATCACCAACCTCTCTGAGAATGGTGAAATGCACTTCGTGTGTTGCCAGGGCGAGCATGATCAGATCCGCGTCCTGCAAGGGGAAGGAAGATGAGAGTGAGCGGCAAAGGGGGAGACGACAGGAAGGTGGGAGGAGGGGGTTTTGGGAAAGGTGGGGACGGAGTGAGAATGTTAAGAATGCACTTCGTGTGTTGCAAGGGCCAGCATAACCAGATCCCGTCCTACAGGGGAAAAGGGACGGCGGTAGGGCAGAGAGGAAGGGGGGAGGGGAGGGGACAAGAGCATGGGGAACGGTCGAGTGCACTTTGTGTGTTACGAGGGGCAGCATGATCAGATGCAGGGGATGAGGACGGCGTATGCAGGGAGCGACGCGTAAGGGAGATGGAAAGAGAGGATGGAACATGGTGGAGTGCACTTTGTGTGTTACGAAGGGCAGCATGATCAGATTCGCGTCCTGCAGGGGATGAGGGATGGCGTAGGCAGAGAAGAAATTGTGTGGTTTTGTTGGAAGGAAAGTATGTGTTGGGGGGGTTGGGGATAGGGAGCGGGAAAGTGGGGGAGAGAGAGGGGGGGGGAGAGGAGGATAGCAAGGGGGCATGCTGACGTGCATTTCCTCTCTTGACAAGGCTACCATGGTCGGATATGCATGCAGTGGGAGGAGATTCACAGTCAAATGGCGGCAGGAAGGAGGGGGTGCTGGGATCTGTGATCTCCACACGGAATAAAAAGGTAGGGTTTAGGGTGCGAGGTTTAAGCGGGGGTAACGAGCAAGCTATAAACATGTCACCTACCAGTCCGTAGATGCAGTGGCGTGTGTTGGGGTCGAAGCCTGGAAGGTTCCGCTGCAGGCGAATGTAGTTCATGATCTTGTGCTCTCCCTCGCCTGGCACGTTGGCGTCCGACAGAATCACCTGGTGGTGGTGGTGACGGTGGGACGGCATGGCATGGAGGGGAAGGCATCAGGTAACCTGTGGGCTGGGCGAATGTAGTTCATGATCTTGTGCTCTCCGTCTCCTGGCACGAAGGCGTCTGATAGAATCACCTGCTGGTGGTGGTGGTGGCGGCGGCGGCGGCGGCGGCGGTGGGGGTGGTGGTGGTGGTGGTGGTGGTGGTGGTGGTGGTGGTGGTGGTGGTGGTGGTGGTGGTGGTGGTGGTGGTGGTGGTGGTGGTGGTGGTGGTGGTGGTGGTGGTGGTGGTGGTGGTGGTGGTGGTGGTGGTGGTGGTGGTGGTGGTGGTGGTGCGGAACCAACGATGGGCAAGATAAGAAGGTGTGTTTCTAAGGTCTATTAGTTCTGATCGATCCCAGTTTTCCTCTGATCTCATATCACCCCTCCCTCTCTCTCCTCACGCGTCTCCCCTGAAACCAGAACCCTGATCCACAATCCTCGCTCAGCCTCACTGTCACAATCCATGCCGGGTCCTGGTGGTCGATCCTGAGGTGGAGGTAGTACTGTTGCATGAAGGGCGGGAGTACCCTCTCCCCTCCCTCTCTCTACTGACTAGCCACCCTTAAACCCTGGCCCAACCCTAAACTTCACTTTCACGTGTGAAGAAATGAGGAATGAATGAACTAGCAAGCAGGTGGGTACAAGTAGGAAAACCTAAAGGTGTTGTACTCCATATTGTCTACCCCACTACAGCCTACACAGACTATAGCATATGAGTTTGACACACCCCCATAGGCAAAGTGGGGGAGAACAAGAGGTCACAAGACCAGTCAAGCAAAGCAAAGCAAGCTCAGGGTGGATCACAACGTCACCACACATTCCGAGCACAAGTTCAAGGCCACAAGGCCAGTTCACATGCAAGATCATATATATAAAGGTAAACAAGCAAGTGCAGGTATAGAAAGATCACAGTACAAGCAAGGTCAAGAAGTGAGCAAGTGAGGCCAAGTAGGCACAAGACCTAGCATCGTACAGAAGCGCTGATGATCACAAGGCGGAAGTGCCTTGGCAAAGATATCAGCAGTGTTGGCCTCAGAGGCCACGTAAGCAAGGCGCAGCTGACCACGCTGCTGCAGCTCACGAGCAAGGAAGTAGCGAAGAGCAATGTGCTTCGTTCTGTGCTCCAGTCTGTGCTCCCGACACAAGGCCAGCATGGCCTTGTTGACTACGTACAGAACTGGAGCAGAACGAGGCGGCTCTCCTAGGTCAGTCAGCAGGTAGGTGAGCCAGCGTAGCTCCTGTGCAGCCATGGCCCCTGCGTAGATCTCAGCCTCACAGCTGGAGCCAAGAACAGAAGACGAGCGGGTAGACCGCCACGAAACAGAGCCGGAACCAAGGCTGAAGGTGTAACCCTGTGACGACCGCTGCGTAGCCTGGTCGTCAGCCCAAGAAGCGTCTGCGTGACCTGTGAGGAACACTGAACGTCGCCCTCCAAGCACTAGCCCCATGCCCGACGTACTGCACAAGTAGCGCAACACCTTCTTCGCTGCAGCCATGTGCTCTGGTCGGTGTCTCCCAGGAGCAACATAGCGTGCCAAGATGCTAAGAGGGTATGCAAGGTCAGGTCGTGTGCAGGTCATCAGGTACATGAGGCAGCCAACAAGCTCTGGGTACGGGCCACTCGGCTCTACGGACTCATCCGAAGGCAGAGCTGAGAGCGAGTGGCGAGTAGACAGAGGAGTGGCCTGAGGCGAGGAGTACGTGAAGCCGAAGCGCTGAAGGACCTGCTGCACCATGTGTGACTGAGTCAGGGTAATGGTGCACTGTGCTCTGTCCCGGGTGATCTGCAAGCCAAGGTAGCTACGCAGTTCACCCAGGTCTGTGCACGTGTGTCTCTTCTGCAGCTCGGACTTCACGTCGGCGAGTCCAGCAGTGTCAGCAGTGGCAAAGACCAAGTCGTCGACGTACACGAGGATGTAGAACGGCGGCAAAGAGGTGTCGGTGCGCAGAAACAGCGACGGGTCGGCAGTAGAAGGAGCAAACCCAAGAGCCGCAAGTGTAGTCCTCAGTGTGTCGTGCCACTCACGGGGCGCCTGGCGGAGACCGTAGACTGGCCGCCGGAGGCTCCACTGGGTACCAGGGGGAAACGACCCAGTGAAGCCAGGTGGGCGCAGCCAGATCTCCTCGTGCAGGCTGCCCTGCAGGAAAGCTGTGCTGAAGTCAAGAGAGTGAAGCTCGTAGTCGCGCTGAGCGGCTATGTGCAGCAGCACCCGAAGAGTGGTCATCTTCGGGGTGGGAGAGAAGGTCTGAAAGTAGTCAACTCCCTGCCGCTGACTGAAGCCTCGAGCCACGTAACGCGCCTTGAAGACAGGCGGAGAACCCGGCGGCCGCTTCACCCTGAAAATCCACATGCCACTGACGATGTTCGCCCCAGGTGGGGGAACCTCGTCGACGTAGGTGCCTGTGGACTTCCAGGAAGCCATCTCTGCGTCCATGGCTGACTGCCACTGTGAGGAGTAGGGACCCTCGATCGCCTCAGCGTACGATCGAGGAGTCGGGATGTCTAGTGCATCCGGGTCTCCCTCAGGGGCAATCAGCATGGACACGAGATGAGGCAAAGCAGCAGCAAAACACTGGAACTCCTCCTGCCTGTCCTCAAGGACGTCCGTGCTAAGAGCACACTCACCCCCGACGGACGGAGGACAGACAGACTCAGACTCAGCAACAAGACTAGCGGCGTAGTCTAGACGACAGCGAGCAAGCGAGCAGCAAAGTCGACAAGCTCAGCAACTAAGGCAGACGCAGCAGTGGACTCAAACGAAGGGTCAGTGACAACAGTAGCCAGGAGACGCGTGACAGTAGGACTGGTAGCACGAAGAGAGTCAGACTCCGGGTCAGCAAGGACAGGAAGAGAGGACTCTGGAGGAGACGGCAACGGGACACGCAGAGGAGCAGTGGAAGGACGCAGTGCCATCTGGTGTGTGCCTGGGACCGCAGGAGGACGCGGACGCGGAGCACGACCACTAGTGCGAGCAGCACGAACAGGCGACGCAGGACGAGACGCAGGCTCACGACGCTCAGCAAGACCTCCAGTAGGACCAGTGTAGGGAAAAGGAGCAGGTAGGGGGGAGGCGGGCTGTAACTGTGACCGCGACTGGACAGGCTGTGGACACTCTAAGGGAGGAGCAGGACCAGTAGAGGGCGGGAGACCAAGAACCTGCTCAAGGAGCAGAACGAAGTACGGCCGCGGCCGCGCAGCGCCTCCAGAACCAGCAGGGACAGCACCAGTACCCCCAGAGGCAGCACCAGCGCCAGCAGCACCTCCAGCTCCAACAGCGCCAACTCCAGCACCCTCAGAAGCACCAGCGCCAGCAGCACCTCCAGCGCCAACACCCCAGCAGCTCTAGCTCCAGCAGGACCGTCAGCTCCAGTACCGCCAGCAGCTCCAGCAGAACCTCCAGCATGACCGACTCTAGCAGCCCCAGCAGCACCCCCAGTCCCAGCAGCTCCAGTACCGCCAGTACGAGCACCTCCAGGACCAGTAGCAACAGTAGCACCTCCAGCTCCAGCAGCACGGCTCCAGCGCCGGGCAAACCACTCGCGCAGCTCCTGCGGAGAGAGTAGCTCACGCCTCGACGAAGCACCGCCAGAGGCCACACGAGCAGACCCAGCACCCCCAGGCTCCGCACCCCCAGGCTCCGCACCCCCAGGCTCCGTACCCCCAGGCTCAGCACCCCCAGGCTCCGCACCCCCAGGCTCTGTACCCCCAGGCTCAGCACCCCCAGGCTCCGCACTTCCAGGCTCAGCACCCCCAGACTTAGCACCCCCAGGCTCAGCACCCCTAGTAGCACCAGAGACAACAGCTACCTCGACAGGCTCGACTGCGTCTACCTGGGACACACCTGACGGGGTAGGACCCTGAGGGGGGAGAGGGTCGACCGGGGGAGGACCTGGCGCAAGGAAGAGCGGCGGCGGGGGGAGGGGAGCAGTGCGGTAGGAGAAGAGACGGTAGTAAGGCACCGACTCGTCAAACGTGACGTCCTGGGAGGACAGAACACGGCGCGAGGTGGGGTGGTAAAACTGCCAACCAGGCGCGTCAGGGGGGAAGCCAAGGAAGACGCAGGGAACAGCACGGGGGGACAGCTTGTCCGCAGACAAGTCGCGGACAAACGCCCGAGATCCCCAGACCCGAAACGCAGACGCATCGCCAACCTTCCCCGTCCACCGCAAGGTGGGGGAGGTCTCTGGCAAGGAGACCCGGGGCTGAAGGTTGAGCTGATGCGCTGCGTACTGAACCGCAAACGGCCACAGAAAATTGGGAGCAGTCGCATGGATCATGGACGTACGAGCGACGTCCATGACCATGCCAATGCGGCGCTCAGCAATCCCATTTTGCTGTGGAGAGGCCGGAAGCGTGAAGGTCTGGCGGATGCCCTGTGCACGACAGAAGGCTCCCAGACGGGCAGAGGAAAACTCCCCGCATCTGTCAGAGTACAGACGCAGAACAGGAAAGTCCGAGCCGAAACTCTCTCTGAGCTGGAGACGAGCTGCGCGGATCCAGTCGATCAACACCTCAGTGACGTCACCCTTGCTGCGCAAGGGGAACACCGTGGTGTAACGCGAGTAGTCGTCAACCACCAGCAGGAAGTAACGCTCGTGACCCTGGCCACGGACGCGGGCGGGGCCCCACACGTCCATGTGAAGAGTCTGCAGAGGAGCCTCTGTCGGAGGAAACTCGGAGGAGTGAGGGGCGGCGCGCTGCCGCCCCTCGACGCAGGGAACGCAGGTAGGGGCAGGCCCCGGAGGGAGGGGAGGGAGGGACCGGGGGAGACCAGAGACAAGAAAACGGGAGGCCATGCCTCGGAGACGAGGCAGGGAGGGGTGACCAAGTCGGTGGTGCCAAAGGAGAGTCTGGTGGGACAGGAGACGACACGAGCAGGGAGCAGACTCAGGACCAGACCTGGACGCTGCAGCAAACACCTGACTCGACGCAGCTACCTGACCAGACTCAGCAACCGGAGGAGATTCAGTAGTCAGTGTGTACAGGCTCGACCCCGGCCGACGGGTAAACGTGGCCAAGTGTCGGCCCGTCCGAGCACACGTGCAGTGGGTCACCCGCTGACTCGCAGGAGTGAACTGGTCAACCCCCCCATACTGTAGGTCAGCACCACTCACCAAGTTCGTAGAGAACGAGGGGAGGTAGAGACCTGACAGGGTGCCAGAGGGGGCTGCCGGACACGGTAAGACAGTGGAGAAGCAAGCAAGGACAGGACCCCCAGAGGGGTCCGCCAGGGAGACCGCAACCGGCCGACTAAGCGGCGTAAGCGTGGTGTGGTCTCGAAAGAAGGAGCGGGAAGCACCCGAGTCAAGGGTGAAGGAGTGTAAGGCCTTAGCCGACGTGGTACCTGAGAGAGCAGACTCACCAGCACCTGGGGCAGCAGACGCACTAGCACCTAGAGCAGCAGCCTCACCAGCACCTAGAGCAGCAGCCTCAATGCCCGGGTCAGGCGGAACAGACAGGTAACAGTCACCCTCATCACTAGTAGACACAGCATACATGGCAGCAAGAATAGCATCATAGTCAAGATCAAAGATAGCAACCCCCGCCCTAGACAGCTCTCCCCAGCGAGGGATCTCAGTGGCGTCAGGGAACTGGTGACGCCAAGCGTCCGTCAGGCGGCCGAAGCAGCGCTGGGTGGAGTGCGAGCCCCCGCACTGCTCACCAGCGCGGTCGCCGGTACGGAGGACGTAGGTATAGGGACCAGTACTCCCACCTCGCTGACGCGCAGCATACCACTCACGAAGCTGCTGGGGGGACGGGGTCTCACGAGTGCGCTGCTGCAGCTGGCGCGGACCACCACCGGAGCCACTCCTCTGTGCAGAGCCGCGACCAGCTCCACCGCCGCCGCCGCCGCCGCCTCCGCCACCTCCGCCGCCTCCACTCCCACCGCCACCGCCGCCGCCTCCTCCGCCTCCACTGCTGCCACCGACACCTCCACCCCCGCCACCACTCCCACCACCACCCCCACCCCCACCCCCTCCACTGCCTCCACCGCCACCTCCACCGCCCCCGCCAGCCCCTCCAGCGCCCTTGCCCCCCTTGCCCTTGGCGGTGCGGCGTCTCCCGCTAGGGGCAGACGCAGCGCCGACCGACTCGAAGCCAACGAGGTCGGTCGCAACAGCAGAAGCAACAGAGGGCAAGAGGGGGGAGGGGGAACACCCCTCAAAGACGGGGGTACGAGGGTCACCACGAGAGGCTCCTACAGCGACTATGCTCTTCTCTGCTGCCAGGAGGCGCTCCTCGAGGAGGTCAACGGTGAGTGTGGTGGGGCAAACTGAGAGGAAGTGGTCCCTGACTAAGCGAAGGGAGTCAGGGAGCCGGGTGACTATGTAGTAGAGGGTGATGTACGTGGGGGGGGGGGTTCTTGGCACAGAACTCAGCAGGAAGCGCAGCGCGGTAGCGAGTGTCACTAGTGCGAAGGTGCGTAATGAGGTCAGCGACTGTGGGAAAGGCAGCAAGGTCAGGGAACAGGTACGGCAGCATGAGGCGGCTAAGAGCAGCAGTGGCAGGGGAAGAGTAGCGTGCAACTACAGCGTCGTACAAGGTCTTAGCACTCTTGTACTGACTAAAGTGCGCACGCTCAGTGGTCGGTAAGTGGCGACGCACAGCAAGACGGGCAGCAGCATCGCGTGTGGCCCACTGTGAGCGAACAGTGCTGTCAGCAGTAGCAGGTGGGGCAGGAGAGGCACCAGAGGTGATATCAAACAGGGAGAGTCCGTCTGCCCTATCGCACTGTAGGAAGAGCTGGAGGTCATCGACCCAGACCTCAAAGTCAACAGCACGACCCTCAGCATCAAAGGTAAGGACACTGGGGGTAGCCATGACAGCAGTGGGCTAGTAAGGAGTGCTCTCACCAGTCTGGGTGGGTAGGGCCGGTGCGCGCCGATAGGAACAGTAGCGGCTTGACGGCGGCTCGGCGGCTCGGCGGCTCGGTGGCTCGGCTGCTCGGCTGCTGGGCGGCTCGGCTGTTGGGCGGCTCGGCTGCTGGGCGGCTCGGCGGCTGGGCGGCTCGGCGGCTCGGCGGTTCGGCTGCTTGGCAGCTGAAGGGGCCGTGAAGGGCGGCGACGGGGCCGCTAGAGGCGGCGACGGGGCCGCAAGAGGCGGCGACGGGGCCGCTAGAGGCGGCGACGGGGCCGCGAAGGGCGGCGACGGGGCAGCTAGAGGCGGCGACGGGGCCGCGAAGGGCGGCGACGGGGCCGCTAGGTGCGGCGACGGGGCCGCGAAGGGCGGCGACGGGGCCGCGAAGGGCGGCGACGGGGCCGCTAGGAGCGGCGACGGGGCCGCTAGGGGCGGCGACGGGGCCGCAAAGGGGCCGCGAGGGGCCTCGAAGGGCGGCGACGGGGCCGCTAGGGGCGGCGACGGGGCCGCGAAGGGGCCGCGAGGGGCCTAGAGGGGGCGGCGACGGGGCCGCGAAGGGGCCGCGAGGGGCCTAGAGGGGCGGCGACGGGGCCGCAAAGGACGGCGACGGGGCCGTAAGGGGTGGCGACGGGGCCGCTAAGGGTGGCACGAGGGGCCGTGAGAGGCGACGTGAGGGCGGCCAACGGGGCGCGCCTCGGGCAGGGGCGACTCGCGCTCCGGTCAGGAAAAAAAAAGTCGATTTCAGTGGTGGGCCCTGAGAAGCGTTCCCACTAGGGAACCTGCTCTATACCATGTGAAGAAATGAGGAATGAATGAACTAGCAAGCAGGTGGGTACAAGTAGGAAAACCTAAAGGTGTTGTACCTCATATTGTCTACCCCACTACAGCCTACACAGACTATAGCATATGAGTTTGACATCACGTTCATCCAGGCAAGGTCCTGATTGATCCTGAGGTGGTCGTAGTACTGCAGCGCGACGGACAGCTATTGTATCAAGGGCGTGCGTATCCTCCTTCACCTCTTAAACCAAAGCCCCAAACCCTGCCAAATCCTCACCTTGACATTCTTCCAGGCGGGGTCCTGATTGATCCTAAGGTGGATGTAGTACTGCAGCGCGACGGACAGCTGCTGCACGAAGGGCGTGCCAACCCTCTTCTCCCCTATAAATCCCAAAACTACCCCTACCCTCCCTGGCCTCACCTTAACATTCTTCCATGCAGGGTCCTGGTTGATGCGCAGGTGGATGTAATACTGCAGGGCCACGGACAGTTGCTGCATGAAGGGTGTGCCGGGCGTGATGACGTTGGAGTCGACCGTCTCTGACTTCTCCTTGGGCGGCACCATGCGCCCCTCCAGCTCAAACTCCTTCCTCAGCCGCTCCTCCTCCGCTGCCTGTGTGGGGGAAGGGAATGGAGCAAAGGGTGATCACAAGTCAGTCGTGCGTCTCCGACTTCTCCTTGGACGGCACCATGCGCCCCTCCAGCTCAACTCCTTCCTCAGTCGCTCCTCCTCCGCTGCCTGCAATGTTGAAAAGGGGGAAAGGGAGGCAGCAAGGCAGGCAGGCAGGCAAGAAAGCAGGCAGTGAATGATAAAGACATGTGAATGTGGTGTGCTGCTGTGAATGGAGCGCGCATGAGTGAAGGGGCGGACAGAAAAGAAGGGCCACATAGCAGTGGCTACAGCAAGTATGGGGTTACTATAGTGGGTATACTTACAGCGTATGTTGCGTCCTTGGCTGCTCGAAATCGTCTGGAGCGCTGCTGGTTCATCTTGGCTCGCGGAGCCACACCGTCTGCCAGGATACCGCGGGGAAGGGAACGAAGGGAACAGAACAGCACAGACGCGAGTGCTTATGACGCGAATGAACAATCAGTAATGGTTAGGCAGTGAGAAAATAAAGGGGCACACATCAATGCCCAATCTGAGCAGAAGGAAATACTCAGAGATATATTTGAGTTTCATGAGCCGCGAACTCTAATAGTAGCACAGACACTCCCAGACCCTAGAAGCAGCAGGGAACCCACATCAATAACACTAAAAGTGCCCGGTAACACCCACCAATGCCCATGAAGAGGACTTTGCGAGGGCGAATCATGGCGAAGAGGCGGTCAATGTAGTCAAAGATGTTCTGAAACACCTCGTGCAGGGTGGTGGGGGACGGCTGCAGGAGAGGGAGGGGGGGTCAAGATGAAAGGGGAGGGAGGCATTGTAAGGGAAGAAAGCTAGGTAGACGAGGCGGTCAATGTAGTCAAAGATGTTCTGAAACACATCGTGCAGGGTGGTGGGGGACGGCTGCATGCGACAAGGGTGTGGAGAAGAGGAAGGATGGATGGGGAGGAGATGGGAGGAAAAGAGTCAGGTCAAACAAGCGGTCAATATAGTCAAAGGTGTTCTGAAACACCTCGTGCAGGGTGGTGTCGTGGGTGACGCTGCACGCGAGAAGGGTGTGGATTATAGGATGGACGGAAAAGAAACATGAGCGAAGAGAGGACGGCCGAAGAGGCAGTCGATGCCATACTGATACAACCCAATCGGCGCGTACAGTAATGTGTACGAAAACAAGCACATCCTAAGGTTCAGATTGGCCAACTCCCTGACAGGATAGCTCGCCAAAATACACTCACGTAGAGTCGGCGGGAACGCAGCGGCGAATGATGCCGCACATGTCGAGGTGGACATGCCCAATTCGTAAACAAGGTAACTCACAGAGTAACTCGCCATCAGGATAACTCCCAACTAGCGTAATCCGCACTTCGAAAAAAATGCCGCTAGGGTGACTTGCCATTAAGGTACGTCCTCGTTAACGTAGCTAGCCGTTCAAGTAACTCGACCTTAGGCCAACTCGCCGTTAGGATAACTCGCGGGCTCGCCATTCGATTCCAACATACCGTTCCCTCGAAGCGTCTCGGGGTGGAAGCACGGTTGGATGCTGCTGTTAGGGAATCTCGCGGTTCTTTTATCATAGGAAATATCGCGGTTCGCGTTTCTAAAATTTCCTCAAGCCGTGTTCACTCGTCCAGCGTCTTCACGAGCTTACACGATCTTCGGGGTGGACGATGCCGTTCATGTCAAGATGCAGATCATACTCGCTGTTAGACAAACTCGCGGCTCGCCGTTCAATTATCTTTCAACTGTGTTTACTTTCAAGGCGTCTCAAATAACTTACGCGGTCTTCGGGGTGGAAGCACGGATGAATGATGCCGTTCATGTCGAGGTACAGATTATCGAACTCGCCGTTAGGGTTCGCCTCCACCGTGTTCACCGGCACCGTCACGCCGTCGATCACCTGCGGCTCCTCTTCAATCACATCCACTATAATCAACGGGTACTTGTCCGCCAACCAGCGGTAGAACGCTGGAACACCCATCGCGTGCGAGTCGCCGGGTGTAACCCCGCTACACCCGCCTCAGTAATTCGTCGAAGTGACTAAGTAGTGCGGAACAAATCAGCACGACAAGCAGAGGCACGAATCCGGGGCCTATTCTAGGTCTACGTATCTAACTACCAGCTCGCGGCTGGAATGGAGAACGCGGCTGATGCCGCACGACGGGAGGAAACTGGATCGAAGTTGGAAGAGTATGAAAATGACGAGTTTGACGGAGGTGAAAGGGTCCTAGGCGGGAGGCACGGGGAGTGCGGGTGGTGCGGCAGAACCAGGGTTTGGTGCTTGGAGGGAGACTGGGTGGGAGACTAACCTGGGTGGGAAAAAAGTAAAGACATGTTGTGACGAAACGGAAGTGAGGAGAATTGGACGGCCAGATATTTTCACGAGGCGATCCGACAAGTTTAGGCCGACGGATAAGAAAATGGCCATCAGATCTACATTTGGTGTGCCGAACCAAACCGCTAAATTAGCATCCGCACTGTTCTACGTTCTCTTCTTTGTTGCGTTTGCCTCACTCTACCTCAACGCCCAAGCCGAACCCAAGGCCAAGGTTTCACTTTCATGTCTCCCAACACCTGACCACGTCAGCAATAGGTGACCAACAAACAAGGATGCGCTACAGCAACGTCACTAGCAGGATGTCGGTGGGGTACACTTGAGAAGTAGGTTAGGCACTCTAACAATTGTGCTTACCTCTCTGGTCGATGTTGCATGCTCTCCAAAATTCCATTTTAGCCCAAACACATGCTTGATCTTCAGAAGGTTTTTTTGGAGCTATTATTTGGGTGTATATCTGGTGCGGCGATTCAAAATGTTCCCCGAATTTGCAAGATTAGAATTCTGGGCTTATATCTTGATGATTCGTGTTAGGCATGTACGCACGTATGAATACAGTTTGACACTTATAGGATTCTGCGTGCACCGATGCAGCCGCTGCTACGGGGTACAGAGTTTGCTTCGGCGAAATCGAGGTTACCGATGCGCGAATTTGTTCGCGCGAAATGTCGGGCATGTGCGATTGCCTTGGACGAAGACGATTCTATTGTGCGCATAATTTCGCAAGTCACTCTATTGATCCAAATCCGTTACATTTTCGCCCAACATATTTGTTCGTCTACGTGTCGTTGAGTTCGCATGTGTAACACAGCGTCGGGACGGGGCATGTGTTCATGTGTGTCGCAATGGTTGGCCCTTAGGAGGAAGACTGTCACTGGCCCCATTGCGAACTGGGCCCAGTCGCAACCAACTGTCGTCATGCGACTGGGCCCAGCTCGCAATGGGGCCAGTGACAGTCTTCCTCCTAAGGGCCAACCATTGCGTAGGAAGAACGCCCGTCAAATACCCCTCAAATCCTGAAGTGGCCCAGCTAGTTAGCTGGTTCACTTCCAACCTCGTTACCCAGCGAGGCGTGTAAACAAATGGGTAGGCGGGTTACGACCGACAGCCGGGGTAATACCAAGGGGGTTTCCCCATAACCTTTACCTCTACCTTTACCTTTACCGTCAAATACCCCTCAAACGTCAGTTTTGCCTTCCCGAAGCCCCCCGACGCTGACGACAGTCATCGGGGCTTCTGGCCAATTCAAACAACTCTCACTAGTTCGCGTCGCGGCGCACTGATGCACTAAGCTGGAGCCACGGTAGCGAGCCTGGACGATCTGAGATCGTCGCGTCGCGTCGCCAAGGTAGCGAGCGAGCATGGGAGCCTCCCTGGAGTCGTCGTCGACGTCCTCCTCATCCCCGTCATCACCTTTTTGCACCCACCGCCGCCCAGTAGTATCTTATTCGACGAATTCGAAAGTGATTTCGGAGTCGACTCTCCGTCTCTCGCTTATTCCCGTGCTGCTCCTCGCCGCCTTTCTCGTCTTCCTGCTCAGCCCCATCTCGCCCCTCGCTCGCCTGCCCCTCGAACCCTTCCATCACACGCCGCGTAGCGATGGCCTATCTTTCTCCGCCACGTCAGAAATCGCCCTGCTGCGGCTGCTCCCACCGCTGCCGCCCGTTGCCGCGCTGCGCCTGGATGACGGAAAGTCCGAAAAGCGCCGCAGTTTGCCAAGTCGCATTTTCGGAAGAGATTCATTCAAAAAGTTTTTGCAGAAGGCGCCGCGCGGGGCAAGACAAGTGCTGGGAGATTGCGAGTGGGCGGTTGGAGGGAGGCGGCGACTGGGGGAGGGCGGTGGTGACATGCACGCGAGGCTGGCACCGCTGTGGGACATGGCGAGCCGCGTGGCGGTCAACGGGACTGTCGTCATCGTGTCCGCCAATGCAGGCGAGTCAGGAAGGGCGATTCGCGTCGTATGCACGCTACGTATCGCATCACATCGCATCTCATCGCATCGTATTGTATCGTATCGCATCGCATCGCATCTCATCGCATCGTATCGTATCGTATCGTATTGTATGGCATGCCGACAGCGCAGGACTACGCTGCTAGAGAACCCCCCCTCACCCCCCCATTCGCCACGTCTCCCATTACCCCTTCTCAAGAAGTAGGCTACGAGGAGATGCTGGAAGACTTAGCGCTGCGAGGGCCAGGCCCTACATCATCTTTCCCCATCGTTCCCCCTCCACCCCCCACTCCCCGGTCCCCTCTGCCAAGCAGGCTACGAGGAGATGCTAGAGAACTGGGCGCTGCATGCCAACAGGTGGACCTGCGCTCTCTTCCCCCATCTTCCCCTCCCACCCCCCCCTCTCCCCGCCCCTTCCCCCACCGACCAGGCTACGAGGAGATGCTAGAGAGCTGGGCGCTGCTTGCCAACAAGGCAGAGCTGTGCTTTCCGAGGCAGAGCATGACTGAACCGCCTCTGAACCCCCTATCCCATCCCACCCCCTCCCCCTTCCCCAGTTCTTCTCGGCAGGCCACAGGGAGATGCTGGAGAAGTGGGCGCTGCATGCCAACAAGGTAGGGCTGCGCTCCACTTCCTAGCCAAACACTGACCCGCCTCTGACCCTTCCCACTGGACCTCCTCCCCTCTCCCAACCCTTCCCCCCCTCCCCACAACAACCAGGCTACGAGGAGATGCTGGAGAACTGGGCGCTGCACGCGGACAAGGTGGGGCTGCGAGGGCACTCCATCATCTTTGCTGCGGAGAGGCAGTGCTTCGACTTTGCCAACCACAAGTGGCCGGGGCAGGTGGGGAGTGTGAGGCGTACATGGGGCAGGTGGGGAGTGTGAGGCGTACATGGGGCAGGTGGGGAGTGTGAGGCGTGCATGGGGCAGGTGGGGAGTGTGAGGCGTGCATGGGGCGGGTGGGGAGTGTGAGGCGTGCATGGGGCGGGTGGGGAGTGTGAGGCGTGCATGGGGCGGGTGGGGAGTGTGAGGCGTACATGGGGCAGGTGGGGAGTGTGAGGCGTGCATGGGGCGGGTGGGGAGTGTGAGGCAGGGCCGTGCTCTCCCTTCACCTCCTCCAGGTAAGGTGGGCGTACAAGGGCACTGCATCATCGTTGCTGCAGAGAGGGAGGCACCTTGGGAAGGGAGGCATGGATGGCGCAGGTGGGATGGGAGGGATGGGATCACCCTTTTTCTCCCCCTTCTCTATCCCTCTGTTCCGCATGGCCGTCTACATCCTGCACCTCCTCCGCCTCTCCCTCCTCCTCTCCCTCCCCACTCCCTCCCCCGCAGGCCCTTCTGCTGGACTTGGAGGGTCAGTTTGTGCACGAAGACGAGGGAGTGGATGTCTCAAGAGCAATAGGGATCAAGTCAGCAGGCTTCCACCGCGTGGCGTCCCGCCTTGCCCCCTCCCCCGCTCTCCGCAGGCGCTTCTGCTGGACTTGGAGGGGCAGTTCGTGCATGAGGACGAGAATGTGGACGTGTCAAAGGCCATCGGAATCAACTCGGCGGGCTTCCACCGCGTGGCGTCCCGCCGGGCCGTGTACATCCTGCACCTGCTCGCCTTTGGCTTCTCCGTCCTCTACTCCGACATCGACCTCGCTCTCCTGCAAAACCCCCTCCCGTACTTCGCTCCCCTCTCCTCCTCTCCCTCCTCTGCCACCCCTTCACCCTCCGGCTCCCCTCCTGCCGCTGCCCCGCCGAAAGAATTCGACGTGTTCATCACCGCAGATCAAGCGTGGACGAACGGCCCAGATCACACGGTCAGTCTGGGCGAGCCGGGACTCCCAATGGTCATGTGCTCCTGCTTCCTCTTCTTCCGCCCCTCAGCGGGAGCCAAGGCCCTCGCAGCCATGTGGGCTTTCAGCATGGTGGAGAGAGGGCATGAGATCGGACTAGACCAGGACCATTTACTCGATGTGATGAAGATTATGAGGGAGCGGGGGATTGAGGCGAATATTGGCGTGCTGCCCGGGAAGAAATTTCCGTCGGGCGAGCTGATGGCGAATGATATGATGGGGTTTTTGGGGTTGAAGCCGGGGGTGGTGATGGTGCATGCAAATTATGTGGTGGGGAAGCGGAAGAAGATCGAGCGGTTGATAGAGGCTGGGGTGTGGCTGCTGCCGCCGCCGGCACCAGAGGGAGAGGAGGAGGGCAAGGGAGAGGGGAGTGGTGGCGGCAGCGGCGGTGGTGATGGTACTGCTAGTGCTGGTGATGTTGCTGCTGCTGCTCCTGCTGCTGGTGCTGGTGCTGGTGCTGGTGCTCCTGCTGCTGCTGGTGGGGAAGGCAAGGAGGAGGGGCAGGGAGGCGAGGAAGGGGAGGAGGAGATGGAGAGGCGGTTGATGGGAGTGGCGGAGTGGGTGCCATCACATGTGGATGCGGTCTTGAGGGTGGCGCCTGGTGTGGCCCGGGATGGGCCGCTCATTCTCACCGTGCTCTGCCATGGTATGTAAGGAGTGGGCGGGAGGTTGGTTGGTTGGGCCATCATGTATCGTGCTGGCACAACACCAAGCATGGCTGTTCCACTTTTTAAGCTCTCTGCATCACTCTGATGGGATCGCCTCTTGCCTTTCTTTTTCTGTCTTTCCTTTCCCATGCCTGCATCATGTCATGTGATGAGATGCGATTGCATCTTGTGGCATGGCATGGCATGGCATGGCATGGCGTGGCATGGCATGGCATGGCATGGCGTGGCGTTGCATGGCATGGCGTGGCATGGCATGGCGTGGCATGGCATGGCGTGGCATGGCATGGCATGGCATGGCATGGCATGGCATGGCATGGCATGGCATGGCATGGCATGGCATGGCATGGCATGGCATGACATGGCATGGGCACAGCAAGCGAGTCGGATCTGTTCAGGAGTTGGCTGGGGGCCATTTCAAAGCTCGGCCTCTCAACCAACTTCCTTGCCTCTGTTGCCACTCAGGTGAGCTTCTGTTGCCGTTCAAGTGTGATTCTGTTGCCAGTCAGGTGTGCTTCTGTTGCCAGCCAGGTGAAATTCTGTTGCCAGGCGGGTGTGCTTCTGTTGCCAGTCAGGTGTTCTTCTCTTGCCAGTCAGGTGTCATTCTCGTGCCAGTCATTCCAGTCAAACCCTTATTCCTGGCCATGCCCAGGCATGCTCAAGAACTCAGATTCCCCCTCCTTCTTCCTGGTGCCTTATTGTCCCATGTACTCTGCTTTTCCATTTCTGAGAACTATGTTGGAAAAGTCGCGCCCAGCGCATTATACGCAAGCGTATATACGCTTGCGTATAGTGCGTTATGCGCTTCGTGAGTGACTTTGAAAGTCGCAGAAAGTACGCTGCCCGGGCAGCAAAAGGTTTTTACCGGGCAGACGAAAAAAACCGCCGAAGGAGGGGGGGGGGAGTGGTGGTTTTACCGAATTTCATATATTGAAAAAACCTTACATTCTCAACTACTCTAAGCAAGCAACATGCATCTCTCCTACCCCACCCCCTACTCCCACCCTCTACTCCCCCCGTCCCTTCCTTCCTCCTCTACTTGTACTCATCCTCCAGCTCATCCTCCTCCCCCTCCTCCTCATCCTCCTCCAGAACCTCGTTGTACCCTTCCGGCAGGGAGGCCTCAGGGATGTTCCCCGGGAGAACCGTCACCCCCTCAGCCCCCTTGTGCCAGTTGCGCACAATGTTCCAATTGTGCGCAACATACACGAGGTCCCGACACTTCTCGGACCCCAACCTGTTGCGCTTGGCAGTGTGGATCGATTCCCACACTGCCCAGTTCCTCTCACACGCGAAGAGAAGAGAGATAATACCGATGACGGGAATGAGAGCTTACCTTATAGTCCAGGATGTGGTTGAACCACCTACGCTGGTTGACGACATTCGTGTTTGTGTGTTGGAGTCGCGCGATAGCATAGGGTGCAGTGCGGTTCAAATTTTCCCAGTTCCTCCCACATTTTGACAGGTGTGGGTGACAATGTGGTTGGGACGTGCGTACAAATTGGGGTGGGACGTGCGTACATTTTGAGTCGCGTCGCACATTCGCAATTCGTGCGCGACTATTGAAATCTGGTTTTTTTTCGGGTCAGCCCGAACTTTCGCCAACGAATATACGTACGACTTGCGTACACCGTATATTCGTAAACGACTATACGGAGTGCGCTTATGGTTTCTGGCGACTTTTCCAACATAGTCTGAGAATGCTCAGAAGCGACCTCAGTACATCTGCTCTTCCATCCACCCTTCTGTCCGTTCCCCATCTCACACTCCATGCGCTTTCTTCCCCCTTGTGTGACCCGCTAAGGAGCTGCGTGCCTTGTCCCCTTTACCTGTACCACTCATACCCCGCCTTGCCTCACTGCCCCCTCTTTGCATCAGTTGAGACCTCCCTCCCACCTGCCGCTTCTCGACCACCCCTTTAACGCAGCTAGCCACTACACCTCCTATTCTAGCCTATGTACGCTGCATAGAAATATTACAACTCTCCCTGCTCATCTCCCCCCCTTTTCACCCATCCTTCAGGTACCTCTACCTGCCAATGCTCCCGCCAGCCATGTCATTCGTCAGCCCGCTTCTGCTGTTTCTATCAAGACGTCTCAAAGGTACCCTTCCCTGCTCATCTCCTCTCCCCCTCTTTTCACCCTTCCTTCAGGTACCTCTACCTGCCAATGCTCCCGCCAGCCATGTCATTCGTCAGCCCGCTCTGCTGTTTCTATCAAGACGTCTCAAAGGTACCCTTCCCTGCTCATCTCCTCTCCCCCCCTTTTCACCCTTCCTTCAGGTACCTCTACCTGCCAACGCTCCCGCCAGTCACATTATTCGCCAGCCTGCCTCTGCCGCGTCTACTGGCGGCAGTGGGAGTGAGGAGAAGGCAGAGGAGAAGGCAGGGGAGAAGGCAGAGGAGAGGGACAGGCTAGCGTGTCTGCTCATGCCGGCGCTGCTGGCCTCACGCCTACTTGCTGCCAACATCACAGTGCTGTTCAGGTGGGTGCGGTTAAGATGGATGTGCGGGCAAACTGAGTTTGCCCGTCTCCCCTGCACTCTTCATTGGCACAGCCAAAGCTTCAGTTATCATGCGTTTTTCTAACCAATCCTTTGACAATCGCATTGGCTGCTTCAGCTTGCAACTGCCCACATGACAGCGGACACCACTTCTTTTGAGTCTGTTTTTTTAGAATCAGACAGATTCTGTCCACGTGACGGCGAATACCACTTCCTTGCGTCTCTCCTTGACCATCTCTTGCTCTTTAGGTTCCACTCGCCTTCTGCTCATCCTTCAATAGTTCCACCCAAAAATGAAAGACAAGAAAAGAAAAGAAAAACAGCAACAACATTTTCAGTTTTACGTCTTTTCCTAGTTCACCTTTTCCCCCTCTTTTTTGACCCGTTGAACTCTCCCCCTTCCCACCACCGCCCACACCAGTGACCCATTACCCGTTTGGCTTCGCAACCCCCTGCCTTTCCTCCATGGCACCTTATCCGTCCACTTTTTAGCCAACTAAACAATCTTTTCCCCTTCCCACCACCGCCCACATCAGTGACCCGTCAACTGTATGGCTTCGCAACCCCCTGCCTTTCCTCCCTGCCAACTTCTCCGTCCTCCTCCCCTCCACCTCCCACTCCCCCACCCCCCCCACCCTCGACACCACCACTCCCACCCCTCTCAACCGATCCCACCTCGGCTCTCTCTCCCCCTGGCTGCTGCTGCTCCGCCCCTCCTCTCCCTCCTCCTCCGCTCAACCCCCCTCCTCTCCTTCCACCTCCTCCACTCACCCTCCCTCCACTCACTTCCTCGCCCTCTCCTGGGGATTACAAGCATTCAAGACTCTATCCAAAGAGCCGTCTCTTTCAGACAAGGCGGAGGGGAACGGTGAGAGCACACCCCTCGCGTTGTCTGTTGCCGTGCAAAGTGCTCTTAACCATGCCATTGCACGTGTGGTCGAAGGGGAACGGGCAGGTGAAGGGGCAGGTGAAGGGGCAGGTGGCGAAGGGATCACGATCGGGGTTTTGCCGTCCTTTTTGTTTCCGCCAAGTGCGGTGGTGTGTGAGGAGAGGCAGTGGGTGCAGCAGCATAGGGAGGAGGTGGTTGCGTTTCACAACAGCTGTGGCGCCAGCAGGGAGAGCAAGGCTTCACTGCTGAAGGAGCTGCAGCTGTGGGTGGAAGGGTGATACACGCGTGCTGGCGGGTTAGTGTGTATGTTTACTGTGAGGAGAGGCAGAGGGAGAAGCAGCAGCACGGAGTCGAGCTAACAACAGCTGTGGCGCCAGCAGGGTATCGCTGCTTAAGGAGCTGCAGTTTTGGGTGGAAGGGTGGTGCAAGTGTACTGGCGGGTTAGCATTTTAGTCTGACCATATCTATACCTTATGAGGCATGGCAGTGGGTGCAGCAGCAGCAGCAGCATAGGGGCGAGATAGTGGCGTTTCACAACAGCTGTGGGCCCGGCATGGAGAGCAAGGCGTCACTGCTGAAGGAGCTGCAGTTGTTTGGGTGGATGGGTGATGCAAGTGGGGTGCAGCAGCAGCAGCAGCAGCAGCAGCAGCTGTCGGGCCAGCAGGGAGAGCAAGTCATCAATGCTGAAGGAGCTGCGGCTGTGGTTGAATGGGTGATGCACGTGCGCTGGTGTGTAGGGAGAAGAGGCTGTGGGAGATTGCTATGCTCGCCAAATTTCTCAGGTGGTGAGAGTGGTGGCATCTGTTGAATGCAAGTGGTTGGAGGAAACATCCATATTGAAGCCGGGTGCTATAAATCCTTTTATAAGTCACGGCCACTTGTATAAAATGAATTTGTAATACCAGCTTAAAGTATTCATACTAGGTACTTCTGGTATATAAACAAACCATACAACTATCGGTACAATGGATCACATTGCAGGGCTTTGTAAAATATCGGCCTAACACATACATTGCACATGCGATGCAAGTCACTGTACAAGCCACATTACACCGTAAGTGGCGTGGCATTACAAACAACTCCTCGGTAAGGCAACGGCTGGAACAGAGCTCTTACATAAGCCACTCTGTGCCACCCATTCATCCATGAGCCCAGCACACACTGCTGGAGGCAGCACACACAACCCACTGTACAAGCTACAATTCATAATGTGGCATGGCATGGTACCTAACAGCAACGCAGCTCAGTACGGCAACGGCTGGAACGGTGCTCTCATGTCAGCCTGACTCTGTGCCACCCACCCATCCATGAGCCCAGCACACACCACAGCAGGCAGCACATGGGGCACACTCACCCCATAGTCACCACCCAAAAGCTCCGCTTTTTTTCGCACCACCTCCTCTGCTTCCTCTGCTCTCCTCGCGTCTTCCACTGCTGCCTCTGCCACGGCCCACCCTCCCAGCATCTCATCCAGCCTTGGCGCCTCCCCCCCTCCTCCTCTCGTCACTCCTGGGCTGTTAAGTGCACCAAAGCCCTGCAGTGGCAACAGGAAGCAGGGAGGGGGGGCGGGAAAAAGATGGGGGGCGGCATGAATTGACTAGAAGGCAAAGAAGAGCTTCTCAGATGTAACTCGCAGGAGTGGAATAAGGGAGAGGGAATGAACAGTGAAACTTGCACTGAAACTTGAGCCCTGTAAAGCGGCTGAGTGTGAAGAACCACCACTCCAAAGGCCAAGCTCCAGACACCACTAAGGCTGTTTTGAGACACACCAAAACAGACTCGTTTCCACCTCCCCTCCCGCACAGCGGGGCTAGAGTGACTCATCCGCAGCTCCAGAGGCCAAGCCACCGAATACTACCTTTGAGTCGACTCAAAAGCAGAGGCCAAGCCACCGAATACTACCTTTGAGTCGACTCAAAAGCAGAGGCCAAGCCACCGAATACTACCTTTGAGTCGACTCAAAAGCAGAGGCCAAGCCACCGAATACTACCTTTGAGTCGACTCAAAAGCAGAGGCCAAGCCACCGAATACTACCTTTGAGTCGACTCAAAAGCAGAGGCCAAGCCACCGAATACTACCTTTGAGTCGACTCAAAAGCAGAGGCCAAGCCACCGAATACTACCTTTGAGTCGACTCAAAAGCAGAGGCCAAGCCACCGAATACTACCTTTGAGTCGACTCAAAAGCAGAGGCCAAGCCACCGAATACTACCTTTGAGTCGACTCAAAAGCAGAGGCCAAGCCACCGAATACTACCTTTGAGTCGACTCAAAAGCAGAGGCCAAGCCACCGAATACTACCTTTGAGTCGACTCAAAAGCAGAGGCCAAGCCACCGAATACTACCTTTGAGTCGACTCAAAAGCAGAGGCCAAGCCACCGAATACTACCGGTGTTCTGAGACGCGTCACAACCGTCACAACAGACTAGACTTATTACCACCTCCCGTCCTGCACGGGACGCACTGACTCACCTGCAGCTCTAAAGGCCATGCTCCCTGCATGCCCGACTGCTCGTGTGTGTGTGCACCGTCACCCCCCACAGAAGCCAAGGTGTTGCCGGGGATGAGGGAGGGCACGGATGCGAGGTAGCTGGTGAGTACACGGGGGTGAAAGAGAGGAGAGACTTGAGGGTTGAAAAATGGGAGAGCTCTCAGAGGCGACTTAACAGTCACGTCGTGTCCACCCCTCACTGCCCCCAGGATACCTCGCCCCTCACTCCTCGTGTTGCCGAGGATGAAATGGATGCGAGGAAGCTGGTGGGTGCCGGGGGTTGAGAGAAGGGAGAGCAAAAACGGCGTGGGGGAGAGGTGTTGAGGGGTGAAGAGAAGTTGATGAGGGTTGCAGGAAGGTTGATGAGGGTGTATCCAGGACATGGCCTGGCCATAGGTCATGGCCGTAGATGGCATGGGATGGATTGGCAATGCATGGAGTGGCATGGCATGGTGTGGCATGGCATGGTGTGGCATGGCATGGTGTGGCATAGCTTGGTGTGGCATGGCATGGTGTGGCATGGCATGGTGTGGCATGGCATGGTGTGGCATAGCTTGGTGTGGCATCGCATGGTGTGGCATGGCATGGTGTGGCATAGCTTGGTGTGGCATGGCATGGTGTGGCATGGCATGGTGTGGCATGGCATGGTGTGGCATGACATGGTGTGGCATGGCATGGTGTGGCATAGCTTGGTGTGGCATGGCATGGTGTGGCATGGCATGGTGTGGCATGGCATGGTGTGGCATAGCTTGGTGTGGCATTGCATGGTGTGGCATGGCATGGTGTGGCATGGCAAGGGGGCGTCACCTCTGGTAGAAGTGCCATGAAGAGCCGTCCATGCATGCATGCGCCAGGTGCAACGCACTCGCCTCCCCTCCATCTCTCCGCAATGCCGGATACGCAGCCCTCGCTGCTCCCACACTGCTGCTACCAGCACCAAAAGCAGCTGGACCAGTAGAACCCGCAGCAGCAGCAACGGCAGCACTGTGTGGAGTATCTGGCGTGATCTCGTGCAGAAACACATACCCACACTCCTTCAACTCCCCAGCCCATTCCCTCGGATCAACCACCTCCGCACCTCTTCCCCTCCCCAATCCCTTCCCACCACCACACACCTCTCCACCTCCCCTCACACCTCTCCAATCCTGCACAACCCTGTCGCCGCCCTCCTTCCTCAAACCACCACCCTGACTGCCACTCCCCCTGCTGTTTTCAGGGTAGACTCGCACGGCTGTACCTCCCCCTGCTGCTGCAGCGCCTGCCCCCAGCAGGCGGTCAAAGGAGGTGAGCTTGAGCGAGGCAGGTGGGGGAGAGGGGCGGGAGGAGGGAGCGTGAGAAGCGGGAGGAGGGGGAGAGGGGGGTGGAGGAGGGGAGGGCAGCCACAGGGGTCTGAGTGGAAGGAAGGGAGGAAGAAAAGGGAGAAAACAAGTTAGACGCCTAAGAGATCGCATAAAAAATCGTTTATAACCAGAGGGTACTCGCACACGGCTGTTCCCCCCCCTGCTTCAAGCAGTTGGTCAAATTTTGAAGCGCCACCAAAGGAGGTAAGCTTGAGTGGGGTGGGAGGGGGAGAGGGGCGGGAGGAGAGAGCAGGAGGAGAGGGAGAGGGAGGGGGATGAGGGGAGGGCAGCCATAGGGGTCTGCACAGGGGAAGAGGGAGGGAGAAGAGGGAGGGAGGGAGGGAGCAAGAGGGGACGATCTTTTAGGTGACACAAAAATCGCCTGTAAGCAGTGGGGTTCGAGTGTGGGGGGAGGGAGGAGGACTTTTGAGACGTCTTATTAGGAGGGAGGAAGGGAAGTGCGAGGGGCAGAGTTCGGGGGGGGGGGCATGGGAGGGGTGAGGGGCAAGATAAGGGTGAGGTGCATTTGGAAATTAGGGGGGGATTTTTAGTCAACTCAATAGTTAAGGGAACAAGTAAATCACTCGTGGTGGCGGACAAGAGAGAGGTCCATGGGATGGGGGGGGGCATCTGAGAGATGAGGCATGGGAGGGGTGAGGGAGCAAGCTTGTATGAGGTGATAGAAAAAACATGGGCAGATGGAACGGAAGTCACACATTGGGGGGGAAGGAGCGACAGGTCCATGCGGGGGGCGTCGGACACATCAGGGAGGGATGCAAGGCTGGACGAGAGGGAAGCACATTGGGTGGGCAGCCAGCCAGCCACAGGGAACACGTCACTCACACGTGGGAGGGGAGGAGTGCGAGGTCCATGGGAGGAGGTGGGGCATCGGACACATCGGGGAGCGATGCGAGGCTGGGCGAGAAGGAAGCAGACGGCATGGCTGCTGCTCCCATCATTCCACCCCCCTCCACTCCCCTCCCTCCACTCAACCCCAGCTGCCCCTGTTCCGCCCCCACCTCCCCCGCCTGAGCGCCCCTCCCTGTGGCTCCATGCAGGTGCTGGTCCGACCCCAGTTCCCAGATGGCTCCCTGCCCTGCCCGCGGCTGGAAGTGACCCAGAAAGCTGGCAGCACGTAAGAAGAGACAGAGAAAGTGGAGGGGAAAGAGCAGCATGAGATGAGAGTGCTGTGCCGAGATTCAACTAAACCAATGACTACACAACTCACAGGTTGATAGCGTCTTGCTTCTCAGCGTCTGTGATGGCATTGCTGTAGTACCGATGCAGCGACTTGAGCACCTCCTGAGACTGCAGCGTAGACCGCCACGTGCCGGGCCGTTCAGCAATCACCAGGTTGTGCGCCGCCGACCCCCCATACTGCAGCGCCAGGGCGTCCCCCATCGCGATGTACATCCCCTGCAGCCGCCTCCCCACGTCGCTCTTGCTGTCCAGGTGCGGCGAATCTGTGATTCCCAAGGAGTAGAGCTGGTGGGCAAGGGCCTCTCGACCGAACACGAACTGGGCCACGTTGGTGCGGTCCAGGCAGTCCAGACAGTTGGTTCGGACTATTCCTTGCTGCAGCTGTGGGGGACGCACCCATCTCCCTGCCTCCTCCTCCTGCGCTGCTGCTGCTGCTGCAGCTGCTCCTCCCTTGCTGCTTGGTCTGATTCCGCCCCCCTCCTCCGGTCCGGTTGTGCTGGGTACAGCAGCAGCGGCGGCAGCAGCGGGAGGGGCGGCGGGGCGGGACGAGAAGCACGTCTTGGTGGCAGCCCTGGGGAGATTGCATGCATTGGGGAGACAGGGGAGGGGGAGGCGCAGAGGAGATGGGAGGCAGAGGAGAGGAAATGGGAGGAAATGGGACAGAGGGAGGGGCGGTGGGGCGGAAAGAGAAGCAAGTCTTGGTGGCAGCCCTGGCGATGTGGAGACAAGGCAGGTGATCGGGCATAGAGGAGATGGGGGCACATGGGATGAGGAACAGAGGACAGGGGGCATGGAAGAGATGGGGAACAGAGGAGAGGAGGAAACAAAGGGCATGCAGGTGAGAAGCAAAGCATGCTCTGTGACCAACTGTGGTGCGGGCCAGGAGAGGGGGGAAGAGGAAGTCAACGAGCTGTAGAGGTTGGAGGAGAGGAGGAATCAACAGGATTGAATCTCAAGTTTGCATGTGACACTTGCAAGTTGCAGCAAAGGAAATGATCATCTGCTGCTCACAAGTAGAGATTTCCAGTCCAGCTCCGTTCTGTGCTGGGAAAACAAGGTGAATTTTTTCAGGTGAAAACAACAGAGGGCGCACCTGGCGAGCTGGCCGGAGTAAAAGAAGCCAGTCTTGGCAAGGCACTCTCTAGCGATCGCTGCCAGCGCACCCAACACCCCCTCCGCCACACTGCCCTTGCTCCCACTGCTGCTGCCATTTTCCGCACTGGCGCCGGTGCTACTGCCGCTGCCACTGCTTGCTTGGACGTTGGTGCCGCTGGTGTTGGTGGCGCGAGGAGAGAGCGAAGGAGGTGAGAGCGAGAAGGAGGAAGCAGAAGGGGAGGACGGGGGGATGAGGGAGGAGGAGGAGGAGGGGATGAGGGAGGAGGAGGGGAAGGAGGAGAAGGGACTGGGATGACTGGTAAGGGTGTGAAGTGTGGTGGGTGTGTTGGGAATGGTGGGTACGTTGGGAGTGGTGGTGAGAGTGCTGAGTGCGCTTGCTGCAGCACTGGTGACCCCTGCTGGAGTGGTGCCTGCGTTTGCACTGCAGCAGAAGGGGAAAGAGGAGTGTATGGGCGGCGAGGGGAAACAAGGGGCCATATTAAGGTCGAAACTTGTACTTTATTGCTGAAACGCGGGTGCTTGTCGCGTTGCAGCACTGGTTACCCCTGCTGGAGTGGTGGCCGCGTTTGCACTGATTTATGTGAAGTGAGGGGGAACGAGGGGACATATCAGAGGTCAAGATCAAAATGGGTACAGCATTACTGGTGAACTGGGTTACCGTCTCGCTGCGGCGCTAGCGACCCCTGCTAGAGTGGTGGCTGCGTTTGCACTGATGTGTGGGAAACTATGGGGGGAGGGGGCGAGAAAAACAAGTTCTGCATCAATAAGAACTGGGTTAATATGTGCTGCAGCACTGGTGACCCCAGCTGTAGTGATACTTGCATCTGCACTGATGTGTGGGAGACGCATGTACACCACACTGTTCACGTCTTGCCGTACCTGGAGAAGTCCAGTGGATCTAGGTGAGGGAAGAGTTGTGGACAGCACGCGGTTGACACATACGCGACTGCCGTGCGATATGCGCACGACTGTTCACCTCTTGGCATAGAGAGACAAGTCCCACATTTCTTTCAGATATTAAAACCCGCAGACCAAGAAAGCCCAAATTGGTTCAACCTTCCGAACTTCGGTTGACTGTGATGTGACTCTGGCACCCAAAATGTTGGTCAATTGCATTTCTCGTCCCAACCAACCAACCTTCCTAACGTTGAACTTCCTGGCCCGCCGGTTTTAATGCACGTTTGTGTTCACCTCTTGGCATAGAGAGAGAAGTTCCAGTGGATGTAGATGAGGGCGGAGTGGGGAGGCAACACGCAGTTGACATATACGCCACTGCCATGCTGTATGCACAGGACTGTTCACCTCTTGGAATGTTGTGGGTGACACTGTTCACCTCTTGGCATGTTGTGGGTTACACTGTTCACCTCTTGGAATGTTGTGGGTGACACTGTTCACCTCTTGGCATGTTGTGGGTAACACTGTTCACCTCTTGGAATGTTGTGGGTAACACTGTTCACCTCTTGGACTGTTGTGGGTAACACTGTTCACCTCTTGGCATAAAGGGAGAAGACTCACCTCTTCTCCAGATGAGTTTTCTCACTCATGCACACAGCGAAAAGGGTCACCTGTTGGCATGTGCACAAGACCACTCACCTCTTGGTGTATCGGGAGAATTCCCAGCGAGTGTAGGTGACATGACATAACATGTCGGGATGTCGGGATAACGTGACATGGCATGTGCACAAGACTGTTCACCCCTTTGCATGCACACAAGACCGCTCACCTCTTGGCGTAGCGGGAGAAGTCCCAGTGGATGTAGGTGAGGGCGGAGGGGCGGGGCAGCACGCGGTTGAGATACGCCACTGCCATCGCGAACTCCCTCCGAAGAATCATCTCACGAGGGTGCTTCTCCACTGTCTGGAAGGGGAGATTGAAACACAGGAGATGGGAGAGGGGAGATGGGAGAGAGGTGCTTTGTTGGAGTTGATGCACGCAATATGGCATGACAGCGAGGGATCACAGTAGCAAGCTGCCGCTTTCAAATCATCTCCCTCAGATGGTTCTCCGCTGTCTGACAGGGAGGGGAGAGGAGGGGAGAGGGGATAGGGGAGAGGAGAGGGGAGAGGGGATGGGAGAGGGGAGAGCAGGCGCGGAGGAGAAGTGTAAGGAAGAAGAAGAAGAGCAGGGATGAGGTGGCAAGACAGGTTTGACAAATTCGAGAGGAGCCGCTGCAGTGGTAGAGTGGAGTCCTTGCTCTCACTCAACAACCTGCAGCGCTTCACACACGGCAGCGCTTCACACACTGCAGCGCTTCACACACGGCAGCGCTTCACACACTGCAGCGCTTCACACACTGCAGCGCTTCACACACTGCAGCGCTTCACACACTGCAGCGCTTCACACACTGCAGCGCTTCACACACTGCAGCGCTTCACACACTGCAGCGCTTCACACACTGCAAAGCTTTCAGTCTAATCCTTGATGAGGTTGAGGATGATGATGGGGTGGGGCGGCCGTACCGCTCCATGAGGTAAGGAGGGCAGAAGGCACCGTGGCGTCCCGCACTGCACCGCACTGTACCTTGATGAGGTTAAGGATGATGATGGGGCGGCCGTACCGCTCCATGAGGTTCTCAAAGTGCAGCCGCGCTGCCGTGTACATGGGGTCGTAGCGATGCACTGCACTCATGGAGGCGCGGGGGGAACAAGCATGGTGCAAGTGTGTGAACCAGTGCGGCCTCCCAAATGCACGTGGATACATGGACCAATATAGCAGGGCAGTGATGTTGTTATAGAGGCGGATTCGATCGCAGCAAACCAACTGAGGTCGCTCGTGCCTAGATCTGAATGGAACCAACCAGATTAAACTAGGAGAGAAAAAAGAAAAGAAGAAAAAAAAACGAGTAGAAGAAAGACTTAGTTAATAGCAGTGCAGTGCACTGAGGTATGGTTGCACGGTGAGGAGGCATATGGCGCAACATTACTCAAGTGTGCACATGGGGGGAGGGTAGCAGTGCACTGCTCACAGTGACATGGTTCCAGAGAGTGAATCGGATCAGTGAGGTGGGATACAATGAGGACACGCCTACACCGCACCACTCACCCACCGCACTGCGCCACTCACCCACCGCACAGCACCACTCACACACGATGTCTGGCTTGGGGCTGAGTCTTGATGCCTGCTGCGACCAGAAGAGGGGAATGGATCCCCTCACCTGCACCACACTCGCCATCGCTGGCACCGCTGCTGCTGACGCCGCCCCCACCGCTGCCACCGCCACCGCTGCTGCTGCCGCTGCTGCTGCCGCTGCCGCCACCGCCGTCGCTTCTGCTGGTGAACCTGTAACTGCTGCGTAACCTGCAGAACCATCCATGAAAACAGGTGTTATCTGGGAAAGGTATTCTCTGGGGCTGATAGGAGGAGGGTGAGTTGTGGAGGAGGGGAGGGATGGGAAGGGCTGGATGAGCAGAAAAGGCGAGGAGGAGGCAGGGGAAGGGGGTGGCGACGTGGCATGTTGCTGCTGCCTATGATGGTAAATGGATTGGTGTTGCTGGGGATGAGAGGTGGGGACGGATGGGTGAGTGGAAACAGGCATAGGCTGACGGTGCAATGCGGTAGGTAGGATGGGTTCACGGTGCAGAGCGGTGGGAGGCGGTAGGATGGGTTCGTGGGAGTGGTCGAGCAGCAGCTGCTCCACCTCCACCTCGTTGGCCACTCGCCCCCGGTCGTTCACCCCCCTCTTGAGATAACGCGTGCCGGCAAAGTGGCGCGAGCGGCGGGCGATTAAGACAAGTGAGATGACCCGCCCGAAGATGGACATGCGCTCCTGCGAGAGAGAGGGGCCAGGGGGGGCACGGAAAGCCGTTGACCCCTCCCTTAAGGTACTTTGTTCCGGTCCGGACAAGTGGCGCAAGTGGCACGAAGAGGGACAAGTGGCGCAAGTGGCACGAAGAGGGACAAGTGGCAAGTGGCACGAAGAGGGACAAGTGGCGCAAGTGGCACGAAGAGGGACAAGTGGCGCACGTGGCACGAAGAGGGACAAGTGGCGCAAGTGGCACGAAGAGGGACAAGTGGCGCAAGTGGCACGAAGAGGGACAAGTGGCGCAAGTGGCACGAAGAGGGACAAGTGGCGCAAGTGGCACGAAGAGGGACAAGTGGCGCAAGTGGCACGAAGAGGGACAAGTGCCGCAAGTGGCACGAAGAGAGACAAGCTATTAGCTTCACCAATATGACCACTGAGCACTGAGCAGCAAGGAGCAAGGGGCAAGCAGGGAGAAGCAGCCCACCTGGTGGAAGAAGCCGTGGGAGAGAGCGAGAGTCCAGCGGTTGGTGCCGAGGGCATGGCGGATGGGGCGTGTGAGGAAGGCGTTCCACACAAACATGTGCTCGTGGGCCATGTGGGCCATGTGATCCATATGGGACATGCAGCTGCTGCCACACTCGGTGCACCCGGCGACGGTACGGCAGACGTTGTCTTGTAGCGAGCGCATGACGGGGTAGGAGTGCGAGTAGAAGAAGTCCTTTGTGAGGTCCACCCCTGACAGCAGCCTCTTGTACCTGGTGTGAGGAGAAAAGAGTATTGAGCGTGCTGTGGGTGAGATTGAGGCATGAGAGTGAAATAAGAGAAAATGGGTAGGAGTGGGAGTAGAAGAAGCCTTTCGTGAGGTCTACGCCTGACAGCAGCCTCTTGTACCTGATGTGAGGGGGGGGACATGGGGGCGTTGAGTGTGCTGAGAGTGCTGAAAGTGTTGAGAGTGCTGTGAGGGTGAGGTTGGAGCGTGAAAGATGAAAAGAGGGTAGGAGTGGGAGTAGAAGAAGTCTTTTGTGAGGTCCACGCCTGACAGCAGCCTCTTGTACCTGACGGAGGGAGGGATGAAAAGAGAGGCGAGGACGCCTGAGAGGGGAGTGGAAGACGCCCTTTGTGAGATCCACGCCTGGAGCAGGGCAGAGGGATGAGAGACAAGGGAAGGAGTGCGAGTGGAAAAGACCTTTATGAGGTCCACTCTGACAGCAACCTCTTGTACTTGATGAAAAAAAAAAAATAGGGGCGTTGAGGGAAGCAGGGTGGAGGGGGCGGCCGCACAGCCACGTTCATGTGCACAATCACCATTGCTCCTCACCGCTCCTCACCGCTCCTCAGCCCTGCTGACCGCAGCTCGCCGCTCATCACGACCGCTGCTCCATGGTGCTGGAGGCTGCAGTGAGTCACCCTACAACGAGAGTGGACTACGGAGGAGAGCACGGGGTTGTGCGGGTGATCGTACGTTCTACTAGTTTCCTTACTACTTGCTGTGTTCACAAAGAAATTTGGCAAGAGTTCCACTGAGAAATTGAAAAGAACATTGAAAATAGAGTACAAAATGAGGCAAGCAAGTCGATATGACTAGAATGGCACTGCAACCCCTAGCAAGCATTCTGAAAAGCGAATTGCCAGCGCAGCATCAGAGCGGCTCGCCAACGCTGAAACAGTGTGGCCTGCCAGCATAGCAGAAGGGCGACGTGCCAACGCTGCAGCAAGGCGGCCTGTCAGCGTTGCATTCGCGGGTGAATATCTGCGCACAGGTGCGCACCTACCAAGTAGGTGCAGGTCGACGGTTTCACCGTCAGGCACATTGCGTAAGGGCCACGTAGAAAACGTGTCGACGATTTTGCCAGATGTCCACCGTCGAGCACGTACTGCCGTTCCACAGGTCGACTTTCGCTAAAACCTCATAAGCGAAATTCTCATGCCTTCACAGAGCTTCGCAGTCGCGTCAATTCGACCAGTTCACCAAGACTAGGCTCGCCGAACAGCACCCCTTGATCAGAGAACGAGGCTCGTCGAAACGGACTCCGTTCGTCAGAGTTCGCGCGACTCACTTGCCGATTAGGGGGCGAGCTCGTCGAACATCACCCAGTCGACTGGAGCTCGTCGATATGCTAGCCGATTAGATGACAGCCTCCTCGGAAACCACCCGTCGTTTCAGAGAACGCGGTGGTCGACTAAACCTGAGAACCCATTCGACAGCCGCTTTCGTCGAATTCACCATGGCGTTGCAGAGAATGCCTGCGCCCAAGCGAGTGCAGGGCCTTTCAATTCGACAGAGGCCACATGTGTGTGCACGGTCGCATGAGGCACGGTGAGCACCAGACTCTCCTCTATGCGGAACACCACATGCTAAGGTAAGGGTCACACATCTGCTCTGCACCCCTCCCTCACTAGTCCTCACGACTGCTCACCACGCCGCGTCTCTCCTCACCACACCACACCGCATCTCACCGTTTCTCACCGCTGCTCTGTTTGTGGTGCTCGTGTGCACGCTGGCGTGCGGCACGGTGAGCACCAGTCTTTCCTTTATGCGAAAAAACGCATGCTGGGGGGCGACGTTCACACCTCTGCACCCCTCCCTCACCGCTCCTCGCCACTTCTCACCAATCGTCACCGCACCTCGCCGTGCCTCACCGCTCACCACCGCTGCTCACCGCTGCTCCATGGTGCTGGAAGCCACGCTCGTGTGCACGCTGGCGTGGGGCACGGTGAGCACGAGACTCTCTTCGATGCGGAACACTGCATGCCCCCTCATGCACCCCACCTGCTGCCGGCGCCGCACCAGAATGAGGTACCAGGGCTCTAGGAAGCGCACACACCCTGCCAATGGGGGAGGGGAGAACAAAGACAGACAAGGCAGAGAGTAAGGCAGAGAAGGGAACAAGCAAGGCCGAGAGTATTTTTGAGGCGCTTCAAAATGAGGCGCCTCAAAAATAAGGCAGAGAGAGGAATAGGCAAGGCAGAGAGTAAGGGAGAGAGAGGAACAGGCAAGGCAGAGAATAAGGGAGAGAGAGGAACAGGCAAGGCAGAGAGTAAGGGAGAGAGAGGAACAGGCAAGGCAGAGAGTAAGGGAGAGAGAGGAACAGGCAAGGCAGAGAGTAAGGGAGAGAGAGGAACGGGCAAGCAAAGTGTGGAAAAGGCAAGGCTGAGAGTAAGGCAGAGAGAGGGTTGCTTTTGAGAATTCCTGGAAGATGGCCGTGGGGTGGGCATGGTAATGAGTGACTAAGAGCTAGAGAAGAGTGCTTGGAGGAGCGAGGGAGAAGGGAGGAGACCAGAGGGGCCACACTAGAGTGAGGGACTGACAAATTGGCACTCACCAGTCACGCACGCCCAAAGCAAGTACCCGCGGTTCTTGAAAAGCCATTTATTGGACATAGACTCATCAGCAGTCCCATCCCATACTGCTTAAAAGCCTATTCACCAACTCACCAACGATGCGATAGGCCTCGGTGACAAGGCGAAGGCCCCCCAGCTGCAATTGTTAGGCAACTCATCAGAACCAATCCATAAGCAGTCCCATACCCTCTATAAGCCTCCTCGCCAATTCACCGACGCACAGACTCACCAACGATGCCATAGGCATTGGCGACGAGGCGAAGGCCCCCGGAGCTGCGTTTGTTTCAAGTCAGACTCAATACACACACCCATCAGCAGTTCCATACCCCATATAAGCCTCCTCACCGACTCACCAACTCACCAACGATGCCATTGGCCTTGGTGACAAGGCGAAGCCCCCTGAGCTGCGACTGATTCGACTCGACTCAATACGCATCCATCAGCAGTTCCATACCTTATAAGCCTCCTCACCGACTCACCGACGATGCCATAGGCCTTGGTGACCAAGCGAAGCCCCCCGGAGCTGCGATTGCCCTCTGCGAGTTGCTGCAGCAGAGCAGAGCACTGTCGAGCGGTGTACACCGTCGGATCCTCCACCAGCACCAGCTCCGACGGCTCAGATCGGTCAATCTTGAGGATGCGCTTCTGATCCTTGTTCTTGCCCCGACCCACTATGTAGAAACGCTGTGGAAGGTGGGAAGGGGGAGGAAATGGAAAAGGGGGGAACAGGGATGGAGAAAGGTATGTATTGAGTCGACGCAAAACGCTTCTGATACTTGTTCTTGCCTCTACCCATTATTATGTAGACGCGCCGTGGAAGGTGGGAAGGGGGGAAGTTAACGGAAACCGGAGGCGGGAGGAATGGAAAAGGTATGATTTGAGTCGACGCAAAACGCGTCTGATCATTGTTCTTGCCCCTACCCAGTACGTAAAAGCGCTGAAGGGTGGGGAGGAGGGAGAAATGGAAAAGGACGGGGGAGGGATGGAAAGGGTATGTCTTGAATGGATGCAAAACGTCTCTGATCCTTGTTCTGGATGGTTTGTACAAGCACTGAAAGGGAGGGGAGGCGGAAAGGAAATGGAGGAGAGGAAAATGGGGAGGGGGCGGGGGAGGGAGAGGGAATGAGCAAGAGGGGGAGGGGGAGGGGGAGGGGGTTGAAGTGGTTGTGTGTGCGCACACCATGCCGTGCACACCATGCCGCGCAGATCATGCCGCGCACAACACAGCGCGCCGCCTTCCAGCGCACGCAGCGCAGCGAGGCTCGCCGCAACGGGCGGCACGCACCGCTTGGGTCTCGTAGACGAGAAACTTCTCCAGACACGCGTCGCTCTCCATCGCGTCAGCCGCGCCGCCCGCCACTCGCCGCTCACGCCGCTAGCCACTGGCCCCTCGCCACCCGCCGCGTCAGCCGTGCCCAGCGTCACCGCGCCACTCGCCACTCGCGCCGCTCGCCACAGTCCCCTCGCCACCCGCAACGTCAGCCGCGCCGCTCGCAACTCGCCGCCGCTCGCCGCTCGCCGCCCGCCGCTCGCCGCTCGTTCACTCGCGCCACTCACGCGGGGCGGCGCTCGTTCACATGCGCCACTCACGGGGGGGCGACGCTCTCTAAGGACGCGGCACCTGTTTGGAATTTGCCAGGATCGATCGTGGGAGGGGATCGATGTGCCGCTTGTACAGTGAATTGGCGACGTCGTCAATGCCTGGTATCCGTCTTTCGCAAGACGTCGAAAATGTACAGTAAACTGGTACCCTGGTACCTACAGCTCGCACGATCGATGTGCTGTGGTGCACACATCGACCGTGCGTTTGGGTTGGCGGGAGAGCACATCGCGCCACAGGTGACAGCCGCGATCGATCGGCGTCGTCCACGGTCGCAGGCCAAAAATTCTCGAGTCGTTGCGAATGAAATTGCTGGGCGACTAGCTACGCTCTGCCCTGATTGGCTGCGCGTTACAGTGTGTTGGTGTATTCCGACGCAGCTCCAACCTGCCCGACCCTGCAATTTCGATCCTGGCACCTATAGCTCGATGTGTCTACCCCACTGCAAATTTGCTGTGTGGGCACATCGGTGTGCCGATCGATGTGCCACGATCGATGTGAGGCCCCGAACCTTCCCCGATCCTGACGAAATGAAAACATGTACCGCGTCCTAACGATGTGTAATCCAGTGGTGTCTAGGCATTCGGTGTAATGGTGTATAGGTATTTGGTGTAATTTAGTGGTATATAGGACTTCGGTGTAATTGTTTTTGGAACATTATTTTATATTGAAATATTATTTGTACAAAACACATATGAGGAAAACTATGCCCTACTCAACCCTTTCATAGTGCTTGTTGGAGCGAGGCGAAAATCGTTTTTAGCATTTCAGAAGGTGCAGCCTTATTGTGCCCAGGGCTCTCGTTATGAGACTAATTTAGTCTACTGCTCTAGATTTCCAGACCCATTTTTTGTTCTTCATATGTTTTTTCAGACAACTGGTTGTATATCGTACGAGTTTCCAGATAGCGAGGATAAATCCGTCTGATATGCGCAGGAAAAGCCCTAAGGCCGGACAATCCTTGTACATGAAACCCCCACGCACTGCAACCCTTGCTCGGCTTGTTGAGAGAGTTAGGAGAAAGGTGATTGATTAGGTCTAGGATGGGATACAAACAAGAGTGTCGAGGTCAGAACTGTACCCCCTAAGGCTAGCCCCTATATAGCCTAGACAAGTAAATACACATATATTTTGACACACCCCCGTAGGCGAAGTGGGGGATAGCCAGAGCAAACAATGGTCACAAGACCAGTCAAGAGAAGAGCAAAGCAAAAGCAAGCTCAGGTTGGATCACGAAGTCACCACACACTCTGAGCACAAGCAAATGGCCACAAGGCCGGTCCACATGCAGAGTTATATAAAAGACAGCAAACAGTACAGCGATTACTATCTAGCAAAAGTAAGCATTCAGGTATATATATAGGTCACAGTACAAGCAAGGTCGAGCAGTGAGCAAGTGAGGCAAAACAGACACAAGGCCCAACACAGTACAGAAGCGCTGATGATCACAAGGCTGAAGTGCCTTGGTAAATACATCAGCAGTGTTGGCCCGAGTGGCCACGTAAGCTAGACGAAGCTGACCACGCTGATGCAACTCTCGAGCAAGGAAGTAACGCAGAGCGATGTGCTTCGTTCTGTGCTCTAGTCTGTGCTCCTAACACAAGGCAATAGCAGCCTTGTTGTCTACGTACAGAACTGGAGGAGAACGAGGCCGCTCTCCCAAGTCAGTCAGCAGGTAGGTGAGCCAGCGTAACTCCTATGCAGCCATGGCTGTCGCGTAGATCTCAGCCTCACAACTGGAGCTGAGAACAGCACACGACCAGGTAGACCGCCAAGAAATAGAGCCGGAGCCAAGGCTGAACGTGTAACCCTGATACGACCGCTGCGTAGTCACGTCGTCAACCCACGAAGCGCATGAGTGTCCAGTGAGGACAACTGGACCCCGCCCTCCAAGCACGAGCCCCATGCCTGACGTACTACACAAGTAACGCAGTACCCTCTTCACAGCATCCTAGAGCACCTTTCGGTGCCTACCAGGAGCCACGTAGCGTGCCAAAAGGCCAAAAGGGTACGCAAGGTCAGGACGAGTGCAGGTCATCATGTACATGAGGCAGCCCACTAGCTCGGGGTAAGGACCACTCGGCTCTACAAACTCGTCCGAAGGTGGAGCTAAGAGCGAGTGACCTGTAGCCAGAGGAGTGGCCTGTGCCGAGGACCAGGTGGAGCCGAAGCGCTGAAGGACCTGCTGCACCATGTGTGACTGAGTCAGGGTGATGGTGCGGCGTGCTCTGTCCCGGGTGATCTGCAAGCCAAGGTAACTGCGCAGCTCACCCAGGTCTATGCACGTGTGTCTCTTCTGCAGCTCCAACTTCACAAGGGCGAGTGCCTCAGTGTCAGCAGTGGCAAAAACCAAGTCGTCGACGTACACAAGGATGTAGAACGGCGGCAGCAAAGTGTTGGCGCGGAGAAACAGCGACGGGTCAGCAGTCGAAGGAGCAAACCCAAGTGTCGTCCTCAGTGTGTCGTGCCACTCACGAGGCGCCTGGCGGAGACTGTAGACTGGTCGTCGGAGGCTCCACTGGGTACCTGCCAAATGGATGGCGCAGCCAGATCTCCTCGTGCAGGCTGCCCTGTAGGAAAGCTGTGCTGAAGTCAAGAGAGTGAAGCTCGTAGTCACGCTGAGCGGCAACGTGCAGCAGCACACGAAGAGCGGTCATCTTCGGGGTAGGGGAGAAGGTCTGGAAGAAGTCAACTCCTTGTCGCTAACTAAAGCCTCTAGCAACCACACGAGCCTTGAAGACAGGCGGAGAACCCGGCGGCCACTTCACCCTGAAAATCCACACGACATCGACTACGTTCGCCCCAAGAGGGGGAACTGCGTCGACGTAGGTGCCTGTGGACTTCCAGGATGCCATCTCTGCGTCCATGGCTGTCTGCCACTGAGAGGAGTACTCACCCGCGATCGCCTCAGCGTAAGAGCGCGGGGTCGGGATGTCTGGTGCATCCGGGTCTCCCTCAGGGGCAAGCAGCATTGCCACGAGATGAGGTGTAGCGGCTGCAAGACACTCAAATTCCTCCTGCCTGTCCTCAAGGACGTCCGTGCCAAGAGCATACTCACCCCAGACGGACGGAGGACAGGCAGACTCTGACTCAGCAACAAGAATAGCGGCGTAGTCGAGACGACAAGCAGCAGCAAAGTCAACAAACTCAGCGACTAAGGCAGACGCAATAGCAGACTCAAAAGAAGGGTCAGTGACAACAGTGGCTAAGAGACGCGTAACAATAGGACTGGCAGCACGAACTAGGTCTGACTCAGGGTCCGGAACGTGCGAAAGAGAGGACGTAGGAGAGGACGGCAGATGAATACGCTGTGGAACAGACGAAGGACGAAGTGCCATAGTGTGCGTGCCGGGGACAGGAGGAGGATGCTCACGAGGAACACGACGACCAGTGCGACCAACACGAACAGGCGAGGCACGATGAGACGCAGGCTCACGACGCTCCGTAAGACCTCCTGTCTGCTCAGTGTAAGGAGAGGGAGCGGGCAGTGGGGAGCCTGGCTGTAACGGGAGACCCGTAGAAGACGGGAGACTAAGAACCTGGCGAAGCACCGAGCCAGGCGGCGGCAGAGACGACGGTGACGGTGGAGCGAAGAACAGACGCGACGGTGCAGTACCACCAGTACCAGCTCCTCCACCGCCAGGACCTCCAGTACTAGTACGAGCAGCTCCAACACCTCCATCTCCAGAAACTCCAGCTCCAGCACCTCTAGCAGCTCCAGAAACTCCAGCTCCAGCACCCCCAGCTCCCGGGTCACCAGCTCTAGCGCCTACAGCTCCAGGGCCTCCAGCTCCATAGCCCGCAGCACCACCAGCTCCGGCCGCTCCAGTACCTCCAGCTCCCGCGCCTCTAGCCACAGCACCTCCAGCCCCAGCAACGCCACGCCGACGGCGGAAGTGCTGAGAGTACTTCTTGCGTAGCTGCTGTGGCGAGAGAGCACCTCCAGAAACTCCAGGACGAGTACCTCCAAGACTAGCAGTGCCAGGTCCACCAGCACCACCAGGAGCGACAGTAGCACCAGCTCCGGCAGCTCCAGTACCTCCAGTACGAGCACTTCCAGAACTAGTAGTACCTCCAGCAACACCAGTCTCAGCAACCCCAGCCTCCGCACCCGCAGGCTCAGCACCCTCAAGCTCCACACCCGCAAGATCTGCACCCCTAGGCTCCACACGCTCAGGCTCAGCACTCCCAGGCTCCACCCGCTCAGGCTCAGCACCCCCAGGCTCCACACGCTCAAGCTCAGCACCCCCAGGCTCAGCACCCCCAGGCTCAGCACCCCCAGGCTCCTGACGCGCAGGCTCAGCACCCTCAGCCTCAGCACCCCCAGCAGCACCAGAGTCACTAGTGACCTCGACCGGCTCAACCAAGGGGAGTGGGTCTACCTGAGACACACCAGAAGGAGCAGGACCCTGAGAGAGGAGGGGGTCTATCGGAGGGGGACCTAGAGCAAGGAAGAGCGGCGGGGAAGGGGGAGGGGCAGTGCGGTAGGGAAAGAGACGGTAAAAGGGAACCGACTCGTCAAACGTGACGTCCTGAGAGGACAGAACACGACACAAGGTGGGGCGGTAAAACTGCCAGCCAGGCGCATCAGGGGAAAAACCAAGGAAGACA